ATATATATATTTTTTGTGTGTTCGCGGATAACTTCTTCGTTTATGAACCGATTTTGACGATTCTTTTTTTGTCTTTTTTTATTTTCTTTTTTTGTATTAACAATGTGTTTAATTTTCTGATTGAAGTCGGTTTTTGTTTGTCAAAAATTATTTTGTAAAATAAATTTCCGTAAATCGAACAATGTACGATGGATTTATTTTTTTATAATTAACTGTAACATAAAAATAAGTATACAATGCAGTATCAGCGATCAAATATGTCTTCAAAGTCGAAGCTTTCCAATTAAATGTGAAGTAAAACTTGGCCGTGGAGAAGAAAGTCCGACTTGGAATAGCGCATAAAAGGCAACATTACATTTTCTCCGTTTCTTTAAAACGAGGTAATGAAGCGGGGGCCCCAATATAAGGTGTTCCAAGTCGATGGCCGTTATCGCATCGGATCTCGGCTCGTTTAGACTCCCATTAAATTATGGGTAGGCGAGATAAGAGATGCATGTCGTTTAAAGTCCGAACCGGCGGCGGCGGAGCTCCCAATGGGAAAAGTTAATCCCGTTTCTCTAATTAAATGACTTACGCTTTTATACGGACGCGCCAAGATCCCCATAAGATACCCGAACCGATATAAACTGCGCCGCTATCGGCGACGGCCGAACTGCCTAGATAACTTTCACGTATTCCGATAACTTACCTTAGGTGACAAACGCCCGCTTATAACACGCTCTGGTAATTTGTTTTCACTCTATAGTCATTCCTTTTTTTTGACGGAGAATGGTAGTGCGGTGACTTTCTTGTCGTGAAGTTATACTTAACTAGCGACCCGGCTGCGCACGGGTGCCATGTATTATACATATAAACCTTCCCCTTGAATCACTCTATCTATTTAAAAAAACCCGCATCAAGATCCGTTGCGGAGTTTTAAAGATCTAAGCATAGGGACAGACAGACAGCGGGACGACTTTGTTTTATACTATGTAGTGAAGATCGCCATAGTGTTATGATTTTCCGCATGCTTGCTATTTGTTAAAACGGCAGCGTTGTAAAAATGTTGTTGTTATTTGAAAGTTATTACATAAGGAAAGTTAAAGCAATTTAATTAGAATTAACAACATATACATTCGTCACTAACGGGATGCAAACCGAAATAACTCAGCGTAAAATGTTTGTACTCGTATTGTTTTATTACGTGTCACGTGTATCAAATACAGACTTCAAAACTACGTGTAATGTATATTCTCATCCGTGTTCCTTTGTCGGTCTTATCTGATTGAAGAGTCACGAAGTGTTCCAAGCTCTCTTACGTTCCGCGTTATTTTAAACTTCCATTCGTAATGTGACAAGCTCGAAACGCGCACTCAGTGCCCGAAAGTGTATCGATTCCGGGCATTTTTTCGAACGGAACTCGAAAAGGCCGCGTTGAATGCACAAAGCTAGTGTGTAGTTTATAATCCGACATAAATCTACTTCTCGCCGATAGTTCTAGTGGTGTAATGAAAATATTGGCACCATCTGTTGCACCCTTCATTGCGTACCGTGTTGAACGGGGGCCCGTTGGAGCCGCGTCGGGTTTTTTAATGTAATTGAAATTTGGCGGACCCCGATGTCTAAGCCCTCCTCACATCTACTGTTGACGCTTTCCGACGAACTATCCGATGATTCTAAAGTTAACGTCTATAACGTTTCCCGGCGACCTCCGTGCGCAATAACGCATCGACACATTTGTCCTCGTTAAAAACGCGAAGAAAAGCCGTTCCGTTAATTAACGGGGTGCATCAGACGTGGAACATTAATCTTGGAGAAGCACTGCGACTGATTGCCTCGGGCAGCCCCTGTATAATCTTTGTAATTTCAATTCAACTGTTTGCAACTCATGTTCTAATGGTTTAATTGATGAGTGTTTACGTAACTGTTAAAAATCGCGGTTTTGAGTTAAAAAAAAAGTTAATGTCTATAAATATCTTTGTTTGTTGTCAAACATTCAATTGTGAAAACTGAAAAGAGCATTGCATTTACGACATTTGATGTTATTACTATCAACTACTCAACAGCCAGATTAAATTAATTGAGATCTCTCGATGCGGCATGGATTGATTGTCAATTGGGAACTCCCAACAAACATTTAACCGTATAAGTAGTGCAACGTGACTAGCACGAGACCTTTAAATCATGTTTTCGCACACAACCACCATATAGAAATGTGTCCACGCTTCTTACGAATTTGGGGCAAGGCGAGCCCGACCCTCCACTCATAGACAGGGACGGCGCTAGGAAGTTGCGCGTTAACAGACAAGGACGGCAGGCGAGCGGCAAGAGATTTATCACGTGACTAATGCCTAACGCATAGACGGCCGCCTCTCAGTCCCCCGGGACTCCATCAAACGAGTTTCTCTCCCCCACGGCCCGATGCAATCTACGCTGAATCGTATTACAATAAATTGCATTAACTCGAAAAATAGCGCGGATAGCAAACACCGTCCATCTGCACACGATTGTACCGACGTGCATCGCAGCGCCCCCCCGTTTCCTCAGCGAAGGAGATTTATAGGTTTTACGAGGGATCATCGGCGGACTAGCGTCGACCGCGCCGCGATATTTCACTTTTCCGAGCGGATATTACGACATTTCGGCTTCTTTTCTCTCGTGTCGCACGACCTTCCTTATGTGGCACGTCACCCGCGTTATTGCTTCGAAAAATAAATATGTAACGCGTCGTTTTCGTGTAAGCGAACGCCTCTGACGTTGAACTCGAGTATTATTTGTTGGGAAGCACCTATTATTATTGCGGCATGGCAACACCATATTGTTATTGAGAATCTTAAGAAGTACTTACTAATCTTTATGTAATCTTTTATCCAAGACAATAGATCGGTCCTAGTGTCTTTTTGATTAATTTTTATTACATCATACGATTAATTTGTGTTGTATATGGTTGTTATCTCAGTTCTTGTATGTTTTAACTTATAGATTGAAGACACACGCCTGCTTAAACTGCGTCAAGAATGGGCTAGCTTAGTTGCGTAGAACCAAAACTTCTCTGAAAATCGGCGTAAAATAAAAGTATTTGTAATACTAGTACCACAATAGATGACACATAAATATTATCTGTTGAGTGAACTTGCCTATGACTATTTTCAACGCAAACGCAATATCATGGATGTTTTGGACATCGAGTAGCGACGGTAATCATTTAGCGTCAGGTAAACGAACATTTACGACCTTCTCTCGTAAGTACATAATGAGGCGTCACAAAAAAGTGTTTAGGAACTAGTTTTTTTTCGGCCTCTGTCTGATCGTGTGAACTTATCTCCACCGAAACCCCTATCTCCGCTAACGCCCATAATCGGGATTTAAATTTTATCATCGCCTAAACGCAGTCGCCGGCTTTGAATATAAACGGCTCATTTACAGTATCGATTCGTGCGTCAATAACAGTTAACGCTAACCGTCGTCCCTTAACTCGCGTATCTAAATTGTCCTGCGCCGGAGGCAGACGGCCAAATGGCGATCCTTATCTGTGAGTGAATCTCGGGACTGTCGGGGGTTAAGATGATAACTTAATTGCTACGACATCCGTTGTTATTCGCTGACGCGCGAGCAATGAAAATAACGACGAAGAGCCACATCAATATTTTGTTTACTGGCAACAAATGCTACATCATAAGCACGTTTATTTCAACGTATATTAATGTCATTGAAGTTGTTTTAGCGTTTTTTTAAGCCTGGTGAGGTCTTTAATATAGCTTATATAATATATTTTGAAATATAAACAATTATTTTCTCATTCCCGAAATTTATAGCCGAAATGATTTGGGAAAAGCTCAAAATTTCTTCAAGTGTATTAGAAACTTTACCACGTTTTAGTTTAGGAATATAATTGGTCTATTTATTATATTGGTCAGAAGTATAATTTGGTGCGATTATTGTAATTGGTATATTATTCTTACTTCATTACTTTGTTTACATAAATCCGTTCACCTTCACTATCACAAAAGCGATGAATTGAAAATTTATAAATTGTAAACTTACAATATTACTAGAACCGAATTATTTATTGCACACAAACTTGCTCTCCTACCACAGCTTGTGGAGGAAAAATATACAAATTCATTGTTTTATTTCGGCAAGATTGACTTATGGCCGTAATTTGGCGTATATTGCTAAGCACGAATTGCACACGCCAGCGAACAAGCTAAGCATCCTGCCTGGAAATCCCCGTTGCTCGTAGACTCTTTGCCGAACTAATAAATGTACACAATAAATTCTCCCTGCATAACAATACCGGGGCCGTTTGTATGCCCCTTTCCAAGTTTCTGTTGGCGAATTGCGTTTTAAAAACGCCTCAGAGGGTGAAAACCGTGTCCGTAGACCGTCCGAATGCAGCAAAGCCGAAGAAAGGGCACTTTGAAACTTTTCACATTATTTCCGGAGATTTTTAACGGTCCGCTTAACGCCCGTTATTAAAGCCCGTGCTCTCGATTCCGTCTGTCGAAAAAAAATTATACAATTAGCCGCAGCAGCACGGGATCCGAGGCCGATCGTCGGATAATGGGTCGTCCGCGTCGCATAATGAGAAGACAACGAAATTCCCGGGAGCAAGAAACGTTTGGGTGTAACCGTACCACCTACGTGCTCTCAAGGCTCAACGGCCGGGGCCGATTGATTCGTTACGCGCCTCAACCGCGCTCGGGCCCCGCTCCGCCTAATTAAAAGCCGACGGGGCGTCGCGACATCTCTCCCGTCCCATTCAACTCTTCAATGACACAAGTTTAACCGTCAACGTGCTCGATAAATTTGAAGAAATTCCAAACGTTGACATTGTTGATTGTATTCGATTTGATGGCATTAACATTGCACCGTCGATATGTTATTCGGATAACGTCGTGAGCGTGTTTGGTGTTTATTTACCACAGATTCCTTTGGGATTGGTATGCGAGATTGATGATGTTTTATAAGAACGGTACACTGACTTTCGAGTTTTAAAATGAGAATTTTCTTTGTTACAGCCTTATCGTCAATTAAAACTAATATAGACAATTCGAATTGTATCCTGGTCCAAGACGTGAAAGCGGTGACGCACGCTCAGGGAATCCGAGATTCACTGTCAACGTCCTCACCATCTGATGGTAATGTCAGCCATTCGCCTATTTCACTGAACAATTGTACTTTGGAACAATCATTTGTAACAAAAATTTAATTTGCAGAATCAATATCGACGTCTTCTTTGGGAGGATGGTCGACGACGGCAGAAGCGTCGATAGACTCCGCAGTGATTCCTCAGCAGGCGCAACAAGCCGCGCCGCCCCCTTGGTCGCCGGCGTTAGAAGTCCGGGAATTCGATGAGTTGCACAGCGCGACCATACCCGCCTACCAGTTCTGGAGCTCGGAATTCCATAGCAAGCAGCCGGCGTACGTCAGCCTTAACTTTACAGTACCTTGGGGGGCAAACTTCGCAGTGTACGGCAGACGGAACGTCGCACCGAGCGTCACTCAGTACGACTTCGTGGAATTCATACGTGGCGGACGCGTGGACCACAGGCTACGGAAAAGAAGGAGCACGTACCAAGGCGACAGTTTCCAACGCAGCCTGGACGAGTGGGACACATTGCTGGGCACGATCAATCCGTTCCACCAGTGGAATCACACGATTAGCAAGCGATCGACAGACATGAGGGTGAACGTCAGCATACTGCAGTACCTGGATACCGGCAGATGGTTCATATCGATATACAACGACGAGCTGCAACCGCACAGCGTCGAGATGATTGTGTCTGAAGCCGAGGGCGTGACGAACTCGTGTCCGGATGATTGCTCGGGACATGGATCCTGCTACCTCGGGAAATGCGATTGCATGGACGGCTTTGAAGGACATGACTGCTCGAAAAGTAAGTTATTATTCACATTAGTTTTTATTTATAATATTTAACACTATAAATACTGGACTTAAAAACTGGACGATGAATAATATGAAACATAAGTTATATTAGAAAATGCAAAATGGTACTAATAATGATCCTAATAAAAAAAAAATAAGGCGTATGTAAGGCTCGTTTTCGCAATGAAAAAAGTATAATTATTCAATTAATTTTAAAGAAGTCGAATAGGATGAACTAATTGGTGAAATCCTACTAATAATCATATAACTTTCCTTGTATCTAACCGAGAGGTAATGGACTATTGTGTTACTTTTAGGTGTTTGTCCGGTGCTATGTTCTGGTCACGGAGCTTACGCAGGAGGGGTCTGCCATTGCTCCGAGGGCTGGAAGGGGCCGGAATGTGATGTACCAGCGCATGACTGTGAGCCCGCAGATTGCTCCGGACGCGGTCAATGCATAGCCGGGCATTGTCATTGCAAGCCAGGATGGAAAGGACTAAAATGCGACGAAGGTAATACAATTATATCAGCAAGGTAATAATACAATTTCAAGCAGAGATAGCTCAGTGTCCACCTTTAATTCAATTCACTCGAGGAACCTAAGTTCGATGTCCGGTGGCGACACTAATGTAATTGTTAATTTTAACTGCTAACTTATCACGCGCTCAGCGTAGAAGGAAAACATCGTGAGGAAACCTGCATATTTTCGAAATAATAATAAAAAGATACGTGAACTCCGTCAATCTGCAGCGGGGGCGCGTGGTGGACACTGATACCCTCTGTACAGAGGAGCCCTTGCCCAGTGGGGCATGTTTAGGCTGTTGCTTTACTTACTGTACTTTTTACTTGGACTATTTCATTGTGTTATCCGCCTTTGTAGAGGATTGCTTGGATCCGAGCTGCGGTGGCCACGGCTCGTGTGTTCGCGGGCGCTGCGTGTGTCGCGCGGGGTGGCGCGGTGCGGCCTGTAGTGAGAGGGACGCTCGGGTGCAACGTTGCTTGCCAGCCTGTTCGCAACGTGGCGTGTACGACCTCGACGCTGGACGATGCGTGTGCGATCCTTTATACACTGGAGACGATTGTTCGCAAGGTAAGAGAAACAAGTACCTATTTCTTTTTACATGGCAGGGCCATGAGGGATTGGTACCCACTAAAACCCCCTCGATGGGCACCTGGCGATTCCGGGATCTCCTACGGGACGCACCGGTGTAAAAGTTCGAAATTTTCTAATGAAAGAGGTTCGAAAATTGGACGAGAATTGGAAATTTTAATCGCGTCACGATTTAGCATAATCTGTTACATGAGCGAGAAGAAACATATAACGTAGATGATAAAAGTTGTTACTAAAAAGTATATGGATATCCACAACAACAATGCGTGCAATAGGATGGCAGGTGTGCTTCCATCCCTTGATAGGTTTTGCCTCGGATTTTGCCAAGTTAAAAAGCAGAAGTATAAATACTTTTACTTCTAGCTTGTCTTCTGCAAAGCTTTCTTTGGTAGCATAAAAGCTGCTGCATAGCCCCACAAAAGAAACTATCACCATAATTTAGACTTCTGCGATGTTTAATCGTGTACCTGTTGGCAGTTGTTTGCTCGTTGGATTGCGGGCCCCACGGTGTGTGCGCGGAGGGCGTGTGCCGCTGCGATGACGGCTGGACGGGATCTTTGTGCGACCAACGCCCCTGCGACTTGCGCTGCCACGAGCACGGCCAGTGCAAAAATGGCACATGCGTCTGCACTCAGGGCTGGAACGGGAAACATTGCACACTACGTAAGCCCTTCCTGCTTTCAGAACCCATATTTCACTAGACTCTGTGCATCTTCGTCTTTATCGAATGTTTGTATGAATATGTGTCTTCGGTCTAGGATTTTTCCTTCACCGAAAATTGTAATAAGTTAAAGTAGAAGTTAAAGACGGTATGCCCTTGTTTAGCTGGCTGTCCAAACGGCTGCTCCCGTCACGGCCAGTGTCTCTTAGAGGATGGCGTTTATCGCTGTTCCTGCGCTGACGGTTGGGCGGGCACCGACTGCTCCATAACCCTCGAGCTGTCCTGCAGCGACAACGAAGACAACGACGAAGGTAATGTCTCCACCCTGTTTCACATGCACCATCTCGTACCCTTCGCGCTTGTTTTAGTGGTAAAATAGCAAGCTTTGCACTTCATGGTAAGTGAGCACTATTGGGTATATCACCAGGATGATCGCAAATGCATAGTTTGTCTTAATGTAGCAAACCGTTCACCGTACCCGATTGGAGTACACTTGAGTTCGTATCACTATCAGTCGCAACGATTCATCCGCGCTACATCAGGAGCTGCGTGCTCCACAATAGCAGAAACACTATAAGTCTGACGATCGCACCATTTCGAAGATGGCATGACGGACTGCTCGGACTCGGAGTGCTGCAGCCGACCGGAGTGCTCCGAGCACATAATGTGCCTCGCGTCCAACGATCCCGTCGAGGTGTTGCTTCGCAAGCAGCCGCCCTCTGTCACCGCCTCCTTCTACCAGCGCGTGAAGTTCCTCATCGAGGAAAACTCTGTACAGAGCTACGCGCACATGGACGAGTACTCAGAGAGGTGAGTGCACGCCACATTTCGCAGCCGCGTCAACGTACACCAAATCACTAGTAAAACGTAAAAGATATCGTCAACGTATACATTCAAAATAGTCACCCGACGATGTCTCTTACTTTATCGGCTTAGGATTTAGAAATGATTTCTTTTTTTAGCATTCCAAAAGATTATAAGATCTTATATTTCACCGTCATACAGTTATATTGATCTGTCAAGATAAGGAAAAAAATTCATTCCATGATGTTTATTAGGATTTAGCACCTTTACCATTTAAAATCCCGCTCATTTTCCTAGACCTCTCCGTGGATTTGGTGTGGTTATTTTTAGTTGTTTCATAAATGTACTTTCTGAATTAATATTTGTTTTATCATCTGGTGGAAGTGTTTTGATTTTCCTGTGTTAAGTCGCGTGTAAAATAAAGATTTTTGTTTTGATTTGCGATCCCCGCATGATTTTGTTTTCAAAATTACCCATAATTGTTTTTTTTTTGGTGTATTTTATTTTTTATTCTTTCATTAATTTTATTGTTTTTTTTTTCACACCAGATCCGATGTGTTGTGTATTGTCTAATGTTTATCCCTTGTGTGTGTCTTACCCTACCTGTTTGTCTAAACAAAACAAATGCGTCTTAATAATAACAATGTTAAATGGATTATACGATTGAATGAGCGCTCGAAGCTTTCGAACAGTTTTGTTTGTCTTCCCGTCGAGTAAATTAACATTTGTTTTTTTAAGGATCACCAAACACGACTCGAGTCATGACAGACGGTTTCTAAAATTTATGAAATTAATTAAAAAACGTCAAATTATTAAACAGTCACTCTGGTTATCCTATTCTATTACAAAGTCTGTTATGATTCTTGTTATGACTTGATTAATTCGAAATTTTAGCTGCCCTACTTTCGAACGTTACAAAAAAAGAATATTATATATTCAAAACTCAAAGTAACATTGTCTGATCTCAAAAATATTAAATAAGACAAAGCAAAACTGAATAATAATAGTAGTCAACCCACCTCGCTTTATATGCAAAAGCGCCTAAAAAGTTTGTTTGCATTAAAACACAAGCCGCTTAACTATTTTGTTTAAGTTGAAAAAGTCTAGAGGGTTATATTGCGTTCTGGCATTTGTTCCGTTGCAACCTAAACGTGCGTTTCACTTGACGGAGTGCCTTCGTGCGTTCACCATCCGGCATGTCTCTCCGACTCCGTGCAACAATGGACCCACTATCCGCCTGATCCTTTTGTTCAGAGCGAGGGAAAAAAAAGTAACAAACATACACACAGAGCTAACGATCGAAAGTGGCGGTGGTGTTGTTCTAATGCAAACGGGCTTGTGATGGAGCCGACAATATACATTCGCATATCGATTCGCATACGAACCCTCCGTTCCGAGCAAGTGTTGAAACGCAAACTAACCAGCGTAGACGGTACAGCCGTGGGATTGCGAATCCGGGGTGGTGTTGCACTGAGGGATGTAGGTATCTGTGTAGTAATCTGTCCTGTCTTTCTGTGTCCCTGTGCCGCCGTGTGTCCGCCACTCCTAGCGAGTTCTGGAATTCCTTTACACCATGGTAAGTGTCAGTCAGCCCGCCCTCGCCCCTCAGTGTTCAGTATATGTTGACCTGTTCCCCTTTTGTTGCGAATCCTGCATATGTGTGTGATGCCAAGCCCGCCGCGTGGCCGCCAACCGGCACGCGAACGGCCCCAACGCTTCTCACTTTTAGTTCACTCCTTTGTCTGTATTCGTTTCATTCTCTATGTGTATGTAACATCTGTATGTCTGTCTTGTATGTCGCTTGCGGTCGCGGCAAAGTGCATCCACTCCGCTCGTTTCAATTCGCAAAAGTGCAAGCACCTTATCTTGTTCGTGTCACGTTGATATCTTGTTCGCGTCACGCCGACATTGAATCGTCACGCGAGTCAACGGGAAACGTTTTGCCGCCGCCGCAATAGTATTTTTGTAATGTTTATTGTTCTCGTCTACTGTGCTTATGTTATCTAGCTCACACTATAGTATACCTATGTTATACTATATAAAACCTAGGAAAATCATTTACGCTTTCACGCAGAACGTAATTAACACATCGGTAGGCGTAGGGCTTGTAAGATACGACGTATACGAGACGCGAACTTTATTTGTGTCGATTGAGCAAATTCTCGACGAACACGCAAATTTAGCTTCAAATAAACTTACCCCTTTATGTGTTCCTTACCCTTTGTCTGCGTCTTTCATCTGTGAACCAACCCCCCTTACCCTTGCCCGAGCTCTATGTGTTTAGATCCTAACCCCTGTGACTAACCGAAACTCGAATTTTCAAATGTAAACCTCATAACGAGATGACAATAATCTCGTGGATATTGTACATTAAAACCATCGCTTCCATCAGTTGGTCATCGTTTACGTGCTATACATATTAACACTGTGAAATTGGTGCAAATATTTTGTTCAATATCTGAATTCATTTGAACACGTTTTGATACTTTCTGAATCGTTTGTGTCGTGTTGTGTTTCCGTTTTGTGGTATTTTATCTGACGAACATTTCAATACAGGTTATACTTTATTAAATTATCTTTTTTTATTAATTCTTTAACCGTATGTTTAAAATAATTATTATTGTGGCAATGGAACTATTGTGTCATTCCTATAGAGATCTACGCAGTCTACACCACGAATGCCGCTTTGTGCTACTCATTATGTCATGAGTTGCACAAACGAATGAATAAAACGAACGACAATGATGTAGAAAGGGAATAGCAATTAAGTCTCCTGGTCTTCGGAGATAACGGGCAGACGTCGCAAAGCCGCCGACTTTCTCAGTGCGCCATTGAAATGCCTTCGATGGCGTCGTCGCATTGACATAAACAAAACGCGAACAAGTGCACGAGAGATCTGATTGAAGACAAAACGGCGGTCGGTGGCTGGATGGGTGAGGGGCCCGATGTTTACGACGAGCGCATTGTGATGTGTACAGCGATTAAATGAACTAAGTCGCTTGGTAGCTCATGATAACGTAGTCGACCTGACAGCCGAGAATTTTACGTGAAAGAATACAAATTAAATGGAGGTCCGTACTCGGAAACATACGTTGACAATTAATTTGTGTTGAATTAATTTAAGATCAAAAACAAGACTGAAATACGGATTATATATCTTAAACTGATGAAATATTAAAATTTATATTAAGTGTAACTAACGTCTCAGCGTAAGCCTGTAATTTTAACACTTGTAATTAAACTTTTAAAAGTCATTATTTAAATAATGACTTTTAAAAGTTTAATTATGAAATTTATGTCTATTTATTTTCACGATATATTTTGATTACTTCTTGTAATTATTTCATTCTTACTTTTAATGACTATATATTAAAGATGAGATTATTTTAAAATCTATAGAATATACAATAAATTCCCGCATAATAGTAATCAAATTTTACTAAGTAACACGACATCGAAATAATTATTTCCTAATTGACTTTGACCTAATTTTGTATTTCAATTACGATTTATTTAATACCAACCTTTAGTTAAGGTATTTGCACCAATTTCGAGTGTTAAAGAATGATTTCATTTAATATAATACTAGGGTGTATCTAAAAGAAATTCAACTATGGTTTGTGTGGCAGCTGTAACATGCATTTACCTACATACATACCTGTCTAGATCGGTACCCGTTTTTTTGCATACATAAGATAAACAATGGCGATGTTACAGTAATTATTGGAATCTTTAAACGGATACCTGATCTAGATGATTAGCTGACTGATCCTGATAAGAGAATGTGCAATGCTAAAAACTTCTTTTGTTTTTATTTGTTCAGTTTCATTTTTTTTTTATTTCAATCTTCACTTTCACAGAAATTACAACGAATTAAACGCATTAGCACGATAACTTCGCTCAGTTTGTTGTCGAGGGAGTGTACAAGGCGATACGTTCCGGGAACTCTTTTGTAATTAATTCATTCTGTATTAAATTAACTTTATATGCCGTTTATTTAGAAATACACAAATAATCTATTAATAAGTAAAGTAATATTCACATTGTATTTTTATTTATATGTATTATATACTATTTATCTATATTATATACTACAGCTTTATACGTTAGGCGTACAAAAAGATAGACACAAGTTGTGACGTGATAAGTTAGCAAGCGAACAGGCGATTCACCTGATGTTAAGTGAAAATGACCGAATAACAAAAATGGCTTTTAATGTGACCTTTTTTGTGTGAGAAGATGGCAAACGAACTGGCGGTTCACCTGAAGTTATGTGATAGCCGCTGCCCATCGAAATTTGCAACGCCCGTGTGGTTGCAGATGCGTTGCCACCCGATGTTAAATAAGTAAACTACGTCAATAAGATCTATGGCGTTGCAGATACGTTGCCAACCATTAATAAAATTGGGACCCCGAAATTCATAGAAATGACCTTACAATGTTAAAATACAATTTTGATTCTAAGTTAAATTATTTAGACTAAATAAAAGATTATATTTTATTTAGTCTTTCATATAACGGTTTTTCATATAATGGATGCAATTTTAACTATCGTTTACCATTAAAGCTTATATAATATATCGACTCTCGTGTTTTTTTACTAGTGAGGGAGAGAAAAACAGCAAGTGCATTTTCAATAATCTTATTAAGTCCTACACTCTTAATGTGGACACATATGTTAGACGTTAACACGAGTTCAAATATGGCGGATTTATATTTCATATTGGATGTAAATACAATACAGTATATTTGCAGCTCGGAACACTACAAATATACAACTAACATAACTTACGTTACTCGAAACTTTTTATTTCGAAAGACCATTAAGATAAAGACACCTCTTTACATTAATCTAAATTAACCTAGAAAATTTCAATATTATAACTACTCACTAGCTAGAATTGAGCCAAGCCCTTCTTGACGTTGAGTTGTTATTGTATAACCTAGGGCGCTTACGTCGTGTATTGTATGTAACACGGGAGGAATATTTAAGTGAAAATGTGTTTATGTTTAGACAGAGTAAATGAATGAACGAATGAATGAATACGGTTTTAATATCCACCACAAATGAGACTATACATAAAAGTGACAATAGAACAACTTATGCAATGTATAAATTGGCGTACAGTGTAAATATTATGGGCAAAAATAATTTTAAAAGTTATTAAAAACTGAGTTGTTTTAATTATTAGTAAAACGAAACAAGTCGGTAGTTCTAGAAAAAAAAAATAGTATTGTCAAGTTTAACTTTTAATAATTACTTTTTTGGGAGCGGTGGTCTGATCTAGAAATTTTAATTAGTATTAAATGAGGGTTAACGTTACATTATTAATTGCAAAGATATCAAATTTTTTAAAACTTCGGACAAAGTACACCTTTATACAATTTTTATTTCACGGGTTACAGCGCGGTTATTTTCGATGAAAATGATCGATGTTTTTAATAAAATCTGTAAAAAATGTTTCATTAATGAGTGTAGTGTAGTATTCGCGTCAATTAGAATAATTACTAGGAATATATTCTCTATGAAAATGTTCTCTCTGTTTAACCATTAATTACAATTGGCACGGCATCAAACGTAAACTTTTCAACTCCGTCCACGTAATTGTAGAAAACGTAAACGTAAATCGGTTTCATAAATTAACTAAACAACATAAAACTGTTTCGTCTTGTAACACTAGCTCCATTTTAATAGTGTTTAAATGAAACACGGCCAACACAAGTTTATCGATGGCAGCGATACTGTTGGTGTAATTCGTAACAAAAGCACATTCGCAGTAGTAATCCATCACTGTGAGATCAATAGCGAGATGTTATATTAAGGAAACAAAGCACAGTAATTAATTATTTGGGTCGGAGTGATACTATACGGATAGTCTTGACGCTTAGAAGACATTTGATATATCACTCAGCGTCGCTACCATTGTACGGCCATGAATATTGATAGAGTTCTTATATTCTTCGCTGTAAGGGTACCGATTCTATGTATAATCATTTGCTAGTATTGGTGGCTTATTATTGATTAGAAGATAATTATTAATGTTTCATCTTAAGTGAAGAGATTAATGAATAGAATATAAATTTCAAATAGCAATGGACATCTCACGTTCGTAATCCATACTAATATTATAAATGCGAATGTAACTGTGTCTGTCTGTCTCGCTTTCACGCCAAAACTACTGAAACGATTTAAATGAAATTTGGTGCACAGATAGTCTTGAGCCTGAGAAAGGATATATTTTTTAATTGGAAAAAGGGTTATAAAAGGTTCTTAAAGGGGATAGATATCTATTTAAGGGTTTCAACGCATGCGAAGCCGCGGGCGAAAAGCTAGTATCATTATAAAACGATATTTGAAATTGTTTGTATTACGCAAAGGACAATAGATGCGCAGTGATTTAAATGCGAAAAATCAATGTAGATAAAATACGTCTAGGTTTTTCTCGGTGTGGTAATTACCCGATTAGCTTAGTGGTTATAGGGTCTAGGCGCGAATCCGGAAGAAGTGGATTCGATACACTTACGATTTGAGAAAGTTTTTTTGTAATGGCGCGTCGTCAAAAATGGTCTTCGATGAGGTTTATGCAATGTAAGATGGAGAAAAATAGTTTGGCTATATTTTGTCTCAATTTTATTAAGTTTTCTGCGGAATGGTTACATTAATAGGTCGAAGGATCTTCATCTTAATGTTTATTCGGCATAAAAAGTTTTGGAGTGACGCGAGTCTTGTGTAAACAATATGTTCCTCAACTGTGGTGTTCTTGACTACAAATATATTGTATTCACAGATAGTTTGATAGACTGGGTCGTTGGAAAAAATAAAAATTAGTGAGAACAAATGTAGTTCAAATCACCGACCCAATAATTAAATAAAAATGTTAACTCTAAGAATAATCGAGTTCGTTAAGTTTCAAAAATTAGGTCCAGAAACACATCTCTCCACTATTGTGGTTATAAATGACAAGTTACTTTTCTATTAACGTAATCAATTTTGGATATTGAATTTATGTTATAACAAAACTCAATGCCTAATGAATTGCCTGCGCCGAACGTCTATTACCCTTTTCGATCCATATACAATGTTCAAAGCCATTAAAACCGAGTCTTATAATTAAGAGAATTGCAAAAAAAATGGTTAGCTTTGTAATAATTTTAAGGGCTTTAAAGGGCTTTTGAGATATTATCTGTACTAGCTATTTTAAACAACTAAAGCAGTTCAATTATTATCATTTTATCAAGTGCCATCATTTCTATTTGTTTTTAATAACTTCTTGTCATTAACAATTAACAATAATATACAGTATTTTCGATCAGTTTTATCTTTTCCCATGAAATCTTAAATTTCTGTTCCTACTACCTTCAATTAATGACTTGTTTTTCCCTTTGCGATCTCTAAAAATCGTTATTTAATTTACACAGAGTATTTTTTTTATTACAGAACGTATTAATGCGTTAAATTACATTAGCAATTGATGTTAGTAAAATGATTTAATGCAAATTTAACCCAACATAACAATAATCATCAACAATAACATATTGTTTTGAAGACCTCAATCACAATTTTTACATATTAGTGTGTTATTTTATAAAAATTACATTTGTCAAATGTAATTTTTAAGTTATTTATTTAAAATTTTCTATAAAGTAGGGTAATGAGCTAATTCTACCACCACCCTTGACAAACAAACGTTTCTTACGTTTTGTTTTCGAAGTTCAGACTTCCACCAAAATCAGTTTGAACTTCCATTCGTGAAGAAAATTTCCTGTTTTAATTTGAAACTTTCTATTTTCGCATTTTATTACTAGGCTTGTACCAAAATCTATCCTTCACAAGATAATCGCAGCTTTCTTTTGATTCTCTTATTACCTTGACAAAAAAAGAGACTTGCCTTTGTAATGATGCTAAAACCTTTTTAACCGACTTTTATTTGAGGCGTTGTTTCGAATCGCAATTTTTAAAATCTGTTGCTATTATTGAGATAATTGGACCTAGTTCATAAATAAAAAGGATACATCCTTTTTAATTATGAACTAGGTCCAATTATATACAAATACAAATGTTACAACATTATATAGTTTATCAAAGAAACTCAAAATGTTACTTTTCCTACATTGTAATAACCTTGTTTTCCCAGAAAATACATATCTAAATTTTATCAGTTATCAATAATTGTTCTAAACGCTATTTCTGCTTTTGTTTTATAATGTCGTTCTATATTATAACTTTCTATTCAGTATCTACTACCAAGCTTTTAAGCATTAAAATTAAACTATTTAATATATATTATATACAAGATTATAATCTTCTTGATATGTAGAAGACATTTCAACGAAACTTCTATTCATTGACTAGTACTCTAGTAGTTGCTATAAAGAATAGAGTTAAACAGTGAATTTAAAACTTGAGTGTAACAAATGCGAAAATGCGGTCTTAGACCCCAAAGGGATTTTACGCTATATCTGTTATAAACTGCGATAGATTTGATGATTATAAGATTTATCACGAACTTGATGGAAAATGGTCAAAATCAGCTCAATAATTTTCTCATTCATACAATATTATATGATATGATATTATCGTATTAAAGTATATATAGTACTTGCTGTCTCTGCCTGGACCTAAAAGAGTTAAAAGTGTGTGAGCATATATTATTTATTTATTACTATTTTAATGGATACTCTAATATGGCATAATTTCAAATTTAATGGTGAGAGTTTGTCCCGTTACAGTGGACCCTGGAAAGGGTTCGAAGCGTCGGGAATAAAAATAAAAATTAATAGCTACACGCGAAAAATTCGTAAGCTTTGTTGCATTAATGTACACCTTATGGTAGGATGTATAGCCAGTCATTATTTTATACTAAACACAAGATTAAAAAGCTATGAACGAAATAAAATCATTCACAGATAGCTTCAATATTATTTTTGTGGATAAAAATCCCAATCGATTTTTCAGATTTAAAAGCTTAGTTAGTATATGATTTATAAAAGAACCATTGCTAAAATCTATTGTATTACAGAAATAATATTGTATTATAAAATATTGATTGGCTTAAAACTAACAGCGTTCCGCAGAGGTCGCTTACAGCTGAATATCTCGATGACTTCCAAAATGCTTCCAACACGACGCTCGAGGAAACGCGAGATTAATCAGTGAGGCATCGCTAATTCAATCTATGCACCGCGCAGATGTGCGAGCGTCGCGTTTTATTCCATTTAACGTTTGAATCCGCCCGCATTTACATTAAAGCTAAACATAGCGCTGGAAATGTTTGTGATCTTAGCTCGCCGCCCTGGAAAATCCACCGGAGGCGCTCTCAAAATACATTAACTATGTTTTATAAGCGATAACATCTTATATATTAATGTACACACACGGATCACTCAACGTTTATGTATCTCTTTGATGTACCACTTTTAAATATAGAACACACACATATATATATATTACGGCAACACACTATCCCTTTATTATATGAACAACACACCTGAGCGAACATTATAAAGCCATCCACTTAGTTGGTTGAGCGAAAGTAGGCCGGAGCGTGTCGCCTTGTACGCCGTGCGCTGCCCTCTGGCGGTGGACTGACGTAACCTAATGTGTGCAGCCGAGTTTCCGTGATGCGGGGGCAAGTTGTCTCCCCACAAGGGCTCGGTATCATCGGCATACGCGTGTCCGTGGACCGGGAAGCCCGTTTCGGCTTCACGCTGACGCGCCAAGGCGGATGGTGAGTGTACATTTAAGTTCTATATTTCATTACTGTTTCGTCCTCCATACTCTAATACCTGATATATACCTTTTGTGCACTATTTTGCAACTGTGAAAACATGTTTTCTCCTCTGTGACAACGTTCGAGACGTATTGAAATACATGACTGCTATCGAAAACTTACTAACAAATGTAGAAACGTTATAAATGCAAAATGATTACTTAGTAGCCACTAGTAAGGAATAAAAAAATAGGGTAAAAGTATAAAGTTATACATAAATTAACCCTAAAAAGAAACTTAAATAAATCTTAATTTCTGGGAAGTTATGTTCACATATTGAAAAAAAGTTTCATTTGTAATAAATTGATAACAAGAATATCATGTCACATTTTTTTGTCATAAGTCAAAATTTCTTTATTCAACATAGGCTTATTTTAAGCTCTTATTGAACGTCAAAAACTGGCCACATTAGATTTATAGTATAGGTCGATGCAATTCCCGCTTTTTATTTATATATGAAAACAATTTTTGTAGGTTTTAATGTTTGTCCGTGTTATTTGTGCGCGTAATTCCTTTATAACACAGGAAACCATTAAAAATAGGAAGGTGTCGCGAGTAAACGTAAACTAAACGCTTACTACAGAAACATGTCTATAAAGTGAAATGTGTCTGTAACAGCACCACTCTACGATGTCATGAATATGAGAGACAAACAATTTGGCACGAAATTGGAGAGAAATTTAAGGATCCTGTCACCCGTTTGACGTGTAACAAAACAATAGACGACTAGTTGAAATATAAACGTAACACATTGAAACACGACTTTTGTACGTAGAAATTTGTTAACTGTTGATATTTTTTTTAATGTGATAAGGTAGCAATAGAGCTGGCGGTTTAACTGATGTTAGGTGACAACCGCGTTGCCACCTTTAAATAAAGTCGGTCCTGGTAACCTCACTCACCAGACGAAACGCAGAAGTAAAACACATTTCACGCCGGTCAGACCTGCCCATTCGTGCAACAGCGAGAACTGTTTCGTGCCCCTACCACAGTAAACTAATTATTGATTAGTTTGTATGACGTGGAAGTTCAATAGAATATATTGAAAATTAACTTTGTAAAAGCGAATTAAGTTTACAAATCATTTTTAAAGAGAAGACTTTATGCATTTTATGTTTGTAATTAATCGTGAGCTAAAACTAAGTTTCTACTATACTGTGAAACTAGAATGATGACTGAAAAGGAATATAGTCATAAACGCTCTAAAGTAGTTTTGAATATAAAGCCACATGACACCTATGTTGTGTTACTTTGCATATAATTTTGTAGGAACAATCCTGAATCCTCAACAAGATCATATACAATCATAGACTATACAAATTGTTGGATTCTTAGGCTTCTAATTTATTTATATTATTTATCTTCTAATTTATTTATCCGATATAAATAATTTCAATAATAAATTAGTATAGTTTTAATGGGTCATTTCGTATCCCTTTTACGATAGGCCAACTATCGGCAAAATATTAAAAAGCAGACAGATAATCAAGGCATCAGCATACTCGTGAATGATTGAAACTGGCAACTTCGGCACTAAAAGCTGCGTTCGTTAAAAAGCAATATTAATACACGTGAACATGTATTAATATTACTTTTAAGCTCTGTGCTGGCTTGCAGTTGGGCCGACGTAAACGCAGACCAGCCTTTCAACGCAGCAAAAGGCTAAAGCCACCAGGTGAAAGAACGGAAGCCCGCGCAAAGTAATACGCAGGGGGAACAATTAAAACGCAGCTTGCCTTGTACCCGGCGCCGCCATTGAAAGACTGCCACACTGTTTTGAGGAGTTTTATTCTTCACAACTTCTTGTAAACGCGGTTACACATTGCTAAATGAAACTATTATTACGAATTTATCGCGTTTATTTTTGGTTTCAGTTTTTATTTATAACAGTAAGTTATTGTTCATTTTTAAAATTGGAAAGGGTTCGAAAAGTCGAGAAATAAAATTAAAAATAAAAACGTTTAAATAGTTTCGTTTATTTTATACTTTTAAGCGATTGCTTCGTCAGCTGATAGCGTACTGAAAACGTAGGACACGCCTATTAATTATATCATTCGGTGTTACTGTGTTCAATGAAATTTTAAAATGGCTCATTAAAATTAATGAACCAAATCATGAAACTTTAACAGCGAAGCTTCAAACTCTTGTGTAAAGTTGTTTTTCCATTAATATATAACTTATAATTACTCATTCAGTGGAGTTGTACGTCGTATCGTATGCCGCTACAGAATAAAAGTTCATCAATTTCACATGATTAAATACTAACAATTAGTGTGTTTTTTGTTCTAAAACATTGCCCTTACTGTAGGACAATTATGTAAGAACATGCCTCAGAGAGTTATACATGAATGTATAAAAGTATGTAATATATAAATAAAACATCATAATAAACAATCCGCGAAAGCAGTCTAAACTAAACAAATTTACGTCAAGCAAATCTACTGTGAACCAAGACCTCTAAACACACTTCATAACAAAAAGAAATTTGTGTTGCCTATTTTCGTTTAAAAACTCGTTTTTGTTGTTCCATGTTACATTTGATGAAAATGAACGCTTTAATAACCAAACATCTAGAAACGTTCCTAAAAGCGTCACAGTAATTTGATGTTCCACGCATAGCGTAGGAAAAAAGCGGATTACCATAAAGAATGGCGTGACAAGAGGAAATATTTGAACAGGAATAGCACTCTATGTGGATATTTCAACTAAATACCGTTAAAGCGTCGTTAATTCGTAATAACCGTAGCTAAATCCCGGGTATTACGAATTCCTTACGTGTAATCAACAGACACGGCAGCCACGCGGGAATACGTACGGTAAATAAAACAACAAATAACAAATTCAACAAACAAATTTGTAGGAAAAATACACGAAAAGTTTTTCGACGCTGAGGGAATCAAACCCACGCCTTCCAGATTAGTAGCCAGATGCATTTTCGCTAAACGGCAGATTGCCACAATGATATAAATACTCAACGAATTTTATCTACATTGTTTTATTCCATATAAAGCAATGTAAAAGAGAAGCAAAAACTTTTCGACCCATTTTTCTGTCTAATGTTTCATTTGTAGTGCAAATTGGCACAGTAAAAATTTTAAATTCAACAATTTCCAAAAAATTTTTACAACGCACAAATGCACAACGCGAAAATGAACAAGCCAAAATAAAACTATGCATGCGAACTGAAAGTGCTTAAATAACAACATAAACACGTAAACAAAAAAAATCCCGTAACACCGACCCGCAATACGAAATGCAAACAATTTGGCACGGGATTGACGTGTTTGAAGAAACTGTCGCGAGTTTTAGCGAAACAATATACGAAAATGTAGTGCTCTGTGCTATTGACGTAAATGTTTTATTACACTCTCGTCAGTTCACAATTCTGGACGACGGCTACGTAAGTATTTTTAGTAAACCGATTTCAGTCAAAAACTTTCGGCTTTGGTTAGGTCTTTTATTACCAGAGCAAAATATAACTATTTTGTTCTTACAAGTAATAAAATAAATTCTTTGAAAGAATGAACTTCGGTAGCTACTTTGCTATTGTAATTGGTATTGTAAATTGAGTAAGAAATTAGCCTTTTTTTCTTTTTTTTTTTTCTAAAAACATTGCCCTTACTTTAGGATATCATTATCCTGCGTTATAAGAACGTTTCACAAACATAAATTTCACGCGGACAAACACCCAGATGCGAAACAATTATTTGTGGGTTACACAAATAGTTGTCTCGTGTGGGAATCGAACCCACGACCCCGACGCCGAAGCCGATAAGTTAACAACTGCGCCGCGGAGTCATCAAGCCTGGAACTATAACTACGGAGGTTAAGCGTGTCACGAAGAACAGTAATTATTTCAGACACGCGCTTTGTTCCTATCACAAAATTGCATTAAATAATCGATAGGAACAATGAAACAACATAACAAGTCAATAATAGAACAAAATTTAAAAGTCGACTGTGGTACGAAAGAAAAAATTTTGACAACTTACATTTTAGTGTCAAAAGACCTTTCTTTTTAATTTCACCGTAAAAACTCGGTGTTATTCTATACAGAACGAATAAATAAATATTTACCCAAGGCTATACAAATATGGAAGAATCAAATAGAACGAACAAACTCGCATAAAATGCTGAAGCTTTAAAAAAATATATACGTAAAATTATGAACACCTTGTAATTACGTCTGAAAAAGTATGTACAGTGTACATAACGTTACGACTCATGTTAAACCTATCCAAAATGGGAATGCATTTCAAACACGAACAAACTAAACATACGATAAATAATTGAGAACAGATTTCGCACAACGTTCTCTAGTACCGAAATAAGCAACGCTTGCACTATACAAACATAATAAATTTCAAATAAAGATGATTTGATTTGATTTGATTATGGGTACCAGATAACTAATAAAGAAAAAAAGAAAGGAAGAAATATTTATTTGGTACATAACAAAAAAATAAATAAAATAAAAATAACAATTAAACTCAGCATTACATCGCAAAAAAACAAAATTAATATACATACTTATGTTATCTCATAATAAACATACGTATCTTTTATAAATAAACATCATATACAGTATACAAAAACACCATGTTATAACACAAGTAGTGGGATCGACAGAAGTAGTGACAACTAATTATACGCAGTTTGACAAAGTTTTTTTAATGTGATAAGGTGGGAAATGAGCTGGCAGTTCACCTGATGTTAAGTGATAAACGCGGCCCATTGACATTTTCAACACCCGTAGGGTTGCAGATGCGTTGCCACTAATAAAGCGGGCCCCGGTCTACCTCACTCACCAGACGAAACGCAGTAGTATAACACTTCCACTTCACGCCGGTCTTCTGTGAGGTCGTGGTACTCACTCGGACGAGCCTGCCCATTCGTGCAACAGCGAAGACCTGACCTACCACAGTTAAAACATCTCTGTTGGTGCAGTAATAAAATATTTCAAGAAACCCTACTTTTTTTTCACCTACAAATTTCATTTAGAACGCAATAACTCTGTGTAATTTAAAAAAAAATCGGTTCAACTCGGATTTTGACAGTAGACCACCGACGCGTTCCAGGTTCGACGTGCTGGTGAACGGCGGCGGTGCGGTGACCCTGCAGTTCCAACGGTCACCATTCAAGCCGCTGCGGAGGACCGTCTTCGTGCCGTGGAACCAGATCGTGGTGCTGCCTCCGGTGCAGATGGAGCTCAGCGACGACAGCGTCAAAGTGCCAACCCCGAGGTCAGTTGATGGTCAATACTTTCAGTTCGGTTGGTAAATTATCGGTCGTACATGTCGAGAATTGTGTTGTGGCTTCGATTCCCACTAGTGGATAAATATTGTGTGATGAACATAGTATTTTTCTAGTGTCTGGGTGTTAATATATGTATAATATGTATTTTTATTTACAAAAGAAAAGTATGTTTAAGTATTTTTATCAGTTTTCTAGTACCCATAGTACAAGCTTTGCTTAGTTTGGGACTAGACAATGTTGTGTAAAAAATGCGTCCGAAAATATTTATTTATTATTTTATACTTTATTGCACACAAGGAAATATTTAGAAAGATAGTTCAGGAAACGTAGTGTAGATATAGGCGGCCTTATTGCTAAAGTAACAATTTATTCAGGCAAACTTAGGTACACGTTTATATGGACATAATTGTCTAATTGGATCTGGGTGACATTTTGATGAATGTAACAAATGGCAGAGTATTCTAATGATAATGTAGTAATTATTGGACCATTGTTTGGCTTGCGACTTACATAACTTGGTGACGTAACTTCGACCTCACGCTAATCTCGCCAGATATATTCAACGATGTTGACCTAGGGCGGACATTTTCAGAACCTTTTTGCGTTCAAATTGAAATTCAAATATCTTTATTCATTAGAAAAGCATAACACATATGATATGATACTCGTAGATTGTCAAAATTGTACTACTACCGGTTCGAAGAAACATAGCAATTTTCTTAACATATCTAAACTTCGTACATCTAAACGGACTTATATTGTAACTAGCTGATCCGGCAATCGTCGTTTTGCCGGATCAGCTAGTTGTAAGAGATAAAAAAAATTGGACCATTGTTTGGCTTGAGACTTACATAACTTGGTGACGTAACTTCGACCTCACACTAAACTCGCCAGATATATTCAACGATGTTGACCTAGGGCGGACATTTTCAGACCTTTTTGCGTTCAAATTCAAATATCATTATTCATTAGAAAAGCATAATACATATGATATGATACTCGTAGATTGTCAAAATTGTACTACTACCGGTTCGAAGAAACATAGCAATTTTCTTAACATATCTAAACTTCGTACATCTAAACGGACTTATATTGTAACTAGCTGATCCGGCAATCGTCGTTTTGCCGGATCAGCTAGTTGTAAGAGATAAAAAAAATTGTTACAAATCTATTCTCATACCTACTGAATATACGCATATAAAGTTTCATCAAAATCGGTCAAGCCGTTTCGGAGGAGTATAAACACTAAAACTGTGACACAAGAATTTTATATATTAGATAGAGCTAGTGAATAAAATGGATGTAAGTAACATAAAATTTTCTTGACTGCATGGTTTTATCGAAAAACCAAATAACCGATACAAACAACGGAATTTATACGATTTATTACGAATTACACGGCCGATCACGTTGCGCTCTCGGTATTTTCTCGATCCGGTAAATTACCGTAAATTATCGATTACGTATCGCTGAGACAGATTCTTAATTAAATAATCGTATTCATCATTACAATCGTGTATTTTTCCGTTAAGAATTTTACGTGCAAAAAACATACTTAAACATACATTTCTTTTGTAAATACAACCCGAACGGCGTAGTGGGTATCCTCTTGCGCCAGAGGGTGTGAGGTCGACCCCCACTACTGGATAAATATTGTGTGATGAACATAGTGTTTTTCTAGTGTTTGGGTGTTTATATATGTATAAGATGTATTTATTTACAAAAGAAAAGTATATTTAAGTATGTTTATCATTTATCTAGTACGCATAGTACAAGCGTTGCTTAGTTTGGGACTAGAGAACGTTGTGTAAAAATGTATCCTATATATTTAAAAAAAAATACACCCTATAAATATATAAACACCCAATATATGTTGAATGTAGAGCGCCGCCGCGACTCGACTGGTCGCCGATGCCGCAATGGTGGGAGGTGGAGACGCCGCCGTGTGCCGCTCACGACCACGAGCGGCTGAGGCCCGAAGTTGTCGCGATGCCGCCACTGGCTTCGCCCGCGGCCTCGTCCGCCACAACGACTACTGTAATATACCCTGAAGCACAGGTGTGTACGACAGATGATGTAAATGGTAGTCACACATTATCTTTGGGAACGTTTTTGTATCGGGATTCAAACGTATTCCTAAGTACAAAGTTACTTAAAATAAGATAACAGTAGATGAATCTAAAAGTAAAATTAATGTAACAGCCTATACATGTCCCACTGATGGGGCAAAGGCCTCCTCTGTACAGAGGGTATTATGTCATAGTCCACCACACGACCACACTGCGGATTGGCAGTCTTCACATATCTTCGAAATATTTTATGTATTTATTTTTCAAATTTATTTCAAATGTTTCCTCACTATGTGTTCCTACACCGCTGAGCACGTGATGAGACAGCACTTAAAACTAACAATTTCACTGGTGCTGGCACCCGGGATCGAACTCAGGTTGCTCGAGTATAATGAATTAAAGGCGAGCGCCCGGACTCTGAGATGTCACGGAGTTCAGTGATACATTAGCTATGTATTTAATGTTATTTTGTAACTGTTGTTTTATTATAATTTTGAATTTAGCTTTAATTTTTAAAGTTTTTTATAGTGCTAATCTCTGCACTTAAGATTGAACATTAAAACATGTAGAAAAAAGATTGTCGCCGCTGTGGGAATCGAACCCACGTCTTCGACATTCGCCCACAGACGCTGGCGCTCTAGCCACTGAGCTAAACGGCTGATAGCCACAGCGACGAAAATCTTACGCCTTCTTTCTACATTGCTATTTAGCATTTGAAGCAATGCTTGGCGCATCTATTGTTATATCCTTTCCAGCATACAAACAATTTCGAATATCGTTTTACAACGATAATTCGAACGAGAGATGTCGCCATTGCTTTTTATAAATTTTAAAGTTTTTTAGAGTGCTTGCTAATCTCTGCACTTAAGATTGAACATTAAAACATGTAGAATAAGTACGAAAAGATTGTCGCAGCTGTGGGAATCGAACCCACCTCATTGACATTCGCGGCCTGACGCTCGAGCCACTGAGCTAAACGGCTGATTGCCATACCGACGTAAATCTTAACGCCTTCTTTCTACATTGTTATTTAGCATTGTTATTAGCTTTCATTTCTAAAGTTTATTTTAGTTTTTTATGTTCGAAATTTAATATACTACATTGTAAAATTGTTTATTGTTTAGAATGTTTTTTCGCATCTTTTGTTCGCTTATATAAGAACATTCACTTCTGTTTTGAGTTTCGTATCATCTGAACTATTATTTTGTAAAGTACCTAGTTTAATGTTCACATTGCGATCCTTAAATAAAAAAAATACTGTGCTGAAAGCTACTTTTTATTTTTACTTTTTTTGTGTAAATCGTTGCCCTTACTGTAGGATAACATAATCCTGTTATAAAATAAATTTCTCGTGGACAAATACCTAGATCGGATTAAATTGCAGAACATTGTCCCGTATGGGAATCGAATCTATGACCCACGGCGCCGAAGTCAATGCCTCTGCAACTGCGTCACGAAGTATTTTTATTTATTAATCTTAAGTGCTGACAAATGATGTGCTCAGCGGTGATGGAAAGCCCCTCCAACCTCTGTACAGTGGAGGCCTTTGCTCAGCAGTGTGTTGTACGTACAGGCTGTTGCTTTACGAAGCTAATAAATGCAAAACCATCGAAGCAAGTTTCCAACTTGCCGCTGGGCGTTCCCTCACCGCCTAACGTTTCCCAGATCGTCAGCGAGTCGATCGGCATACCGGGCTCCTCCGTCAAACTGACGTACCGCTCGTCCCAAGCGGCCGGCTACCTGTCGTGCGTGCACGTGCAGCTGACGCGGCGCGTTGTTCCCGCCTCGCTCTCCCGAGTGCACGTGCGCGTCGAGATCGAGGGCTCGCTCCACACGCACACGTACGAAGCGGACCCGGATCTGACGCACGTGTTCGCTTGGAGCAAGCGAAACGTGTACAAGCAGAAGGTGCGTGGGCTGGTGGCCGAGTTGACGGGGGAACGTTTAGAAAGTGGTCGTTTATGTTGTACGTGTTTGCGCGTTTGGGTCAGGTAAAGCGTTGTCAATGCATTGAATTTTTTTTTTTTTTGATTGAGTACTGGCACACTGGATAGAATTGGGAAAAGCTGCGAGGACCTTATGTTACTAAAATCATCATTGTTTCACTTTTAACCAAATGGAAATCGATAAGCCTATCATGTTGTGAAACCGAGCCGATTATCATAATAATAATATCTCAATCAATTTATCAAACTATTTTCTGTAACAAATTCCTTATATTTTTAGGTCTACGGCCAAGCGCATGCGAAAATCTCTATCGGTTACGAGTACACGTCTTGTTCTTCTATCGTGTGGGAGACTCAAACCGCGACACTGGCCGGCTTCGATGTTGACATCTCGGATATTGGTGGTTGGGGTCTGGACATCCACCACCACTACAATTTCCACGAGGGTATACTGCAAAAAGGCGATGGGGCCCTGCTGCATCTGAAGCAATACCCTCGCACTGTACAGGTAAATTGTACATTTGTAATTGCAATTTGATATAGTACGAAAAGTTTTTCGCCACTGCGGGAATCGAGTCCACGTCTTTTACCCAGACGCTTTAGTCACTAAGCTAAACGGCTGATTGCTACACCGACCGAAAATCTCAACTTTTTTATCTACATTGATTTTTCTCATTTTAGTGCATCCATCCTTTACAGCGTGCAAACAATTTTAAAATTCGTTTAAAAACAGTAATTCGAACGGTAGATATCGCAATTGCTATATGAAATTGAATTTTTTGAGATAGATGAAGCATTAAAAACAGTAGCAAAAAAAATTTAATGAACAATTTTAATTTTTGTTAAGTTAAAATTTGCTCCGCAAAATTTAATAGTTTACAATTACATAGTTTTATAAGCTAATTTACTAGCACTATTATCAAGAGATAACCGCCGCACAGAAATATTGAGAATAACACAGGTGTTGTAGTCACGTTATCAGCTCTTCAGAAGTGAACAGGCTAACGTCTATAAAGCTAACTTCCGACGTATCGGTTTCACTGCAGTTTTGCCACTATTGCAATATCGTCGCGTGTTGCAGGTGGTAATGGGAACCGGTCTGCAACGCTCCTTGGAGTGCCCCGACCACTGCAACGGCAAGGCAGCGGACTCCCGCTTGCTGACGCCAACAGCGCTGACCTCGGGTCCGGACGGTTCCCTTTACGTCGGCGATTTCAACCTAGTGCGACGGATAACACCCGAGGGTGTGGTCACCACCGTTCTGCAGCTAGAGTAAGTTTTTGAACTTTTGCCTATACCAATATTACTGTTTTTTTACCCGTAACTGGTAGAGAATAGCTTAATTGCTTTTCCAACTGTTATAGTTAGATGTTGCCTTTTATTTTACGTGGGAAAGATCCTTTGTGGATTCCGTACCATCGCATAGCGGAGGGGCAGGGGTATGTGGGAGACCCAGTCAGAAACGGGTACCCACTAAAAAACCCACGTTGCACCTGTCTCTGTCGCATCAGCCGGGGACACGGGAACACGAATACGCAATCTTCCGCGACCCCGGCACGACTATGGCCTTTTAGGCCTCCTCTTCGCGGTTGCTAGGCCACCCAGTCCGGCTAAATGGTGCTGTGCCGGTGTAACTAGCACAGCGACCCTCACGAGCTCCGTGTGCAGCGGCAGACGCCCCCATTCCTGCCACTCGGGCATAGTTAGATGTTACCTATAAACGCACTACTATACCCGTAACCGGTAGTGACTAATCGCTTTCCAAACTACCATGCTGCGACGCAACAGTTACCGGTCAACGCACTAGCCCACGTTATTTAAAAACGTTCTTTTTTTTTTTTTCAGGACAACTCAGGTCGCGTACCAATACTACATCTGCATATCGCCTGCGGACGGCTACCTCTACGTGTCGGACTCCGAGAGGCATCAGGTGCGGAGGGTGCTGGTGCTGGAGAAAGTGAGGGATCCCTCGGCGAACTCCGAACCGGTGGTCGGCAACGGTGACCGTTGTGTCCCCGGCGACGACACCAACTGCGGCGACGAAGGGCCCGCGATCAAAGCCAAGCTGTCCCATCCCAAAGGTACATTAAACTCATAGTACCAATAAGAAATTCCTAAGTGAAACCCTCAACATGTGATGTTTTGTGTTCTTTACGACCGGCCGCCTGTCTGAGCTCAACCCTCCTTGAGTAACAAACACCCAAATCAAATCCGGAACTATCTGTGACGACCACGACCTCCGACGCCAAACACAATAGCCAACCACAGGCGCATCGAGTCGTACATTAAACTGATAACGCACTATTAAGAAATTGTCCATTATTATATTCTCTACCAAAGGTTCGAATCAAACCTATAGTAACACTAATAAATTCTCCAATAATAATGTCCATATTCATTTCTATTCTCTGATTTATCAGTAATTGTTTTAAATATAACCAGTTGTCCCGTGCGAGTTTCTCACGGTAACGTGATCCAAATTATTACGTATTACGTATGGTAATATAATAATTAACAGACAAGGATGTTTAGCTTATGCTGAAAGAATACGATAAATTCAATCTTATTCAATAGCTTTCATTTAAACAAACTATCAATCATACACCTAACGGTATTGTATTTAAAACTTTGTTTTCAGGACTAGCCATCGCGGCGGACAGGACGATGTACATAGCCGACGGGACGAACATCCGAGCGGTCGACCCGAACGGCATAATCCACACGTTGGTTGGCCACCACGGGCACCACAACCACTGGTCACCGGTCCCGTGCCGCGGCGCCATACCCCCTTACGAGGCTCAGCTGCAATGGCCGACCGGTGTCGCTCTATCGCCCTTAGACGGCTCACTCTACTTCATTGACGACAGGATCATACTGAAGCTCACCGTAGACATGAAGATCAAAGTGGTCGCCGGCCAGCCCTCCCACTGCCGCATCGGGAGCGACGGCAAGCCGATAAGCAAGGCGACGAACAAAACGAACACCGAATTCCGCGAGGACTCGAACCTCGGAACCATCCTGGCGATCGCGTTCGCCCCCAGCGGCATCCTGTACGTGGCGGAGTCGGACTCGAAGAAGACGAACACGATAAAATCTATCGATCCGTCCGGGAAGATTATGCACTTCGCTGGCAAGCTGCAGGAGAATCTGAAGGAGCTCAGCTGCGAGTGCAACACATCTGTTTCGGCGACATTCGTCCCGGTCATGTTCCGCGAGGAGGGCGCCGGCTGCCCCTGCAAGCTGAGCGTCGTCGGTGGGGACGAGCCGCCGACGAGCACAGAAACTCTACTGTCGTCTAATGCCAAATTCCAAACGATCTCCGCTCTAGCCGTCACCCCTGATGGCGTGCTTAACGTTGTCGACCAAGGTAACTCTCTTTCCACGCCTATTTATCTAAGAAGTCTGTTAACTTCAAAAGGAGGCGGTTCTCAATTCGGCTGTATTTTTTTTATGTTTGTTACCTCAGAACTTTTGACTGAGCGAGCCGATTTTAATGATTCTTTTTTTATTTGAAAGCTGGTGCTCTCCACGTGGTCCCATATTTCATTGGTATTGGATCTTGGCTTCCGGAGATACTTAGGGAAATCAATTTTAAAATGAATACAGAGCGAGATATTTGAAGTCGCTTGTTTGTAATATGTAATCTAGTTAATTAGCAATATAATTAATGTTTATGTTTAACTTCCAGGCTCCCTTCACATATTGGCGTTAAAGCACTACCTGCCGACGCATGACGAAAATGGCGAGTTCAGAATCCCGTACCCGCCCACTTCCGAAATTTACGTCTTTAACCGATACGGGCAACATATCACCACTAAAGACTTGACGTCCAGCAAAACGAGATACTCATTTTTATATTCGAAAAATACCAGCTTCGGTAAACTATCAACCGTGACTGACGCCTCGGGAAATAAAATACAACTTTTGAGGGATTACAGCAACATTGTCAGCTCTATAGAAAACACTCAAGATCACAAACTGGAACTTAAAATTTCCGGCATTGGCTATCTGACTAAAATAACGGAGAAGGGCACTTACGAAATCGAATTGGATTATGACGCAAATACGGGACTACTTAACAGTCGATCTGGGGTCAGTATTTTATTAATTCAATCCTAAAATTGTTTACGATTTTACTTAAATGATCTCACAACATGAATATATTAAACAAATTACTTATAAGTAATATCTACTGAGGAACAAGAAATAAATAGAATATTATTATTAAAAACATAGTATAAATCTTAAATTTTAACTCTATCTTAAAATTAATAAATGTTACTTATAAAAATAAATAGCTGCTCGAAATACCAACTACTTATACAAGTAACTAATTAAATTACCTATGTGATACATCTTGCTCTCTCCGAATTTGTTTTGTACTATGCCCTATAAACAGGGCCCATAAAGAACTCTTTTACTAATTATCTTAACACCTTTCTGTTACTTAATGGATGTGCAATAAATAAATAAAATTTCTTTACTAATAATTCATTATTTTTGTCCCTTAGGCTGGTGACACTGTTATCTACAACTACGATGAATTAGGCCGGGTAATGAAGATCATAATGCCTTCTGGAGAACAAGTGCACATAACATCGGGACTAGCTAAAAACTACGGCTTGGCGGTAACCGTCGCTAACCCATCAAGCACCATTCCCGTTGGTGTAGCGAAAAAGTGCGAATACGTTTTGCACGGACAATCCTTCAAACAGATCACAATAAATAACGGAAAGCAAGTCACCGAAGGTAGAATTTACTCGAACAACACTTTAGTGCTCGAAACACCTTGGTCCGGTAAATTTGAGAGTATTGCAGCGGCCAAACATCCGTTGCTGGAGGCAGCTCTACCGATAGAAGCCGAGATGCTTCACATGTGGTCACACCAAAGCACAACATTTGGTGATGGATTGGTGAATAACATGTACTCCTTATACACGTTGGTTGGTGACGTAAGAAATCCACAGCAAACCCTTAATCGCGAAATATGGGTAAACGACTCACGGGTTCTGATAATAGAATTCGACCAATTTAAGAGCCGGGAGACATTCTTCAACGCCGACAGAATTCCTCTATTCACAATATCCTATGACGTAGCTGGATTACCTTTGTCTTTCACTCCTCACGGAGCTGGTGTACCGCTTAATATTTCATATGACCGCTTCTATAGGATCAATGGTTGGAAATGGGGTGTTACCGAGGAGACGTATAATTACGACCCCCACGGCATGCTGTCAGAAATAACGAGCACACAAGATGGCACCAAATTTATATACTACAACGAAGGAAATCTCGTATCAAAGATCACGTTGGCTAGCCAAAGAAGCTTCAAGTACTTGTACGACGACGATGGTGGCTTAACACATGTCCTTTTGCCATCGGGCACCAATCATTCATTTAGCGTACAGCCTTCCATCGGATTTCTAAGAGTCACGTATACCCCGCCAGGATCTTCTAAGAAATACTTGCAGCACTACTCTCATACAGGGGAGTTGCTTCAAACAGTATTTCCTGGTGACGGCGCTCGAGTTATTTACCGTTACTTTACAAACAACAAAGTATCCGAAGTCATACATGGTGATGGACAAACACAAATACACTATTCCGAGACCAGTGGACTCCCGTCTGAAATACTCCACGTGGATAGAGATGTTGATTACCGTTGGGAGTCTACTTACGCTGGTGGCCTTCTGATGGAAGAGAGGCTAGACTACGGAGCCAAAACTGGCCTCAGCAATGCGAAAATTATTTACGACTATGACAACAACTACAGGATTGTTTCCGTGCAAGGCCGTATAGGCGGACAGACACTTATTCCCCATCACATCGTTTACAATAGCAAAACGGGTGCACCCGAAATACTAGGCCAGTTTACCGTTTCAAAACAAAAATGGAACGAAACGTCCGTATATGACGGAATCGCCATGTTTTCGCGTGTATTAAGTGATCAGTTCCTTGAGAAGGAAGTTACCGTCAACATTCACCGTATGGAGGTCTTCAGAATGGAGTTCTCATACGACAGGCACGGGAGAATATCTCAAACTAGGACTCACACAAGAAACGTCGGTGTCAACACCTACACGAACGTCAAGAACTATACTTGGGACTGCGATGGGCAGTTGACTGGGGTGGAGGCACAAGAGCCGTGGGGATTTAGATATGACGACAACGGAAACATGCTGTCCTTGACTTACAGGGGCAACACCATTCCCATGGAGTATAACGACATGGATCGAATTATCAAGTTCGGCGAGGGCCAGTATCGCTACGATAGTCGTGGCTTGGTATCACAAAACGCTAGGGAGGAGAGATTCCAATACAACGCCAAAGGTCTACTGATTAGGGCGACCAAGCGTGGAAGATTTGACGTCCGTTATTACTACGACCACCTAGACAGGTACTAATTACTACTACTAGCATTACTTTAATTAAAATCAGTAAGTTGTATGATAAAATGTATACATTATCTTAATGGTTGGCAACTAATCTTTGCTGCTTCTATTTTTCAGGCTCTCCACAAGGAAAGACAACTTCGGTAATGTTACGCAATTCTTCTACACCAATAAAGAAAAACCCCACGAGGTCAGCCACATTTATTCACCCCGTGAAAATAGGTTCATGACGCTGGTTTATGACGACAGAGGTCACCTTATCTATACTCAGGTGAGAACAATACGCGAAGCTTCTAAAAGTTAATAATTCCCGTGTTGTATTTTATGCATATTTCTTTATACCATATTTTTAAAATGGTCTTTATTATATATGTTTTTATCTAAACTATGCTTAATATTTTTGCCTTGTTTGTAGGTGGCCAGACACAAGTATTATATAGCGACTGATCAATGTGGTACTCCTGTAATGGTATTCAACCAATATGGGGAAGGAATTAGAGAAATTATGAGGTCACCATATGGACACATTGTTTACGACTCTAACCCGTACTTATACTTGCCAGTAGACTTCTGCGGAGGACTTTTGGATCAAGTGACATCATTAGTTCACATGGCAAATGGGAAGGTGTATGATCCTTTAATAGGCCAATGGATGTCACCTTTATGGGAGAACCTTATCGAGAGAATTACTAATCCCACTCAGTTGCACCTGTACCGATTTAATGGCAACGACCCAATTAACGTACGACCTCAAAACAAGAAACCGATTGGTAAATATTATTAATGAGGCATTGTTGTACCTTGAAAATTAGAATACAGGAGATAAAACCATTTTTATCTATTATTTCAGATCATCTATCTTGGCTTGAATTGTTAGGCTACGATACTAAGAGCCTAGCCCCGCAACTCTACCCGGACGAGCTGCCGGGCGGCTCCGTGATGCCGAGCATACCGCGCGGTCGGCCCGTGTGGGGCTCCGCTCCCGTAGACAGCAATCCCGGCCTACCCTCCGCGATGTCGCTTCTCCCCAGCGTCTCCATCGAGTCCGGCTTCCTGTCGCACATGTCCAACAAGAGGATCGCGGACTTCAGGAGCCTCTCGATACCCCCGATGTCCGCCTTGAAAACGGACGCCCTGAACCTAGCGCCGAAGCGGATTGGCTGCGACTCGGAGCCGCCCTTCGGCCGCGGGATCCTCGTTTCGCGGAACTCCCGCGGCCGCGCGGTGGTCACGACCGTGCCGTCGGCGAACGCGATCTACCGCGACGTGTACACGTCCGTGTTCAACCGCTCGCACCTGCTGCCCTTCTCGTTCGTGGTGCACGGCGACCAGCAGGACGTGTTCTACTTCGTGAAGGAGGACACGTGGCGCGCGGCGGACGACAAGCAGCAGCTGAAGCGGATGCAGGGCAAGCTGAACGTGACGTTCCACGAGGCGACCGAGGGCGGCAGGTCGTACGCGGACGTGCGCATCCACGGGCGGACGAGCGTCGTGAACCTGCGGTACGGCACGAGCGCGGAGAGGGAGCGGCAGCGGCTGCTGCACCACGCGCGCGCCACGGCCATCAGGAAGGCGTGGCACCGCGAGCGCGAGGCGCTGCGCAGCGGGCTCGGCGCGCTCGACTGGTCCGCGGCCGAGCTCGATGAGATCCAGAAGGCCGGCTCGGCGGCCGGCTACGAGGGCGAGTACGTGCACGACGTCGCGCGCTACCCCGAGCTCGCCGAGGACCCGTACAACGTGCGCTTCGTGAAGCGGCGCAGCGAGCGCGCCGAGCGCCGCCGCCGGAAGCGCGACTGCCGCGGCCCCTGGTGGCTGGCGCGCGAAACGCCGTGCTAGTGCCCCGCCGCCGCCCGGGTGCCAAATCGTGTGACTGAGCCGCTGGATGTCGATGCGTGTGCGACGGACGCCTGGCTGTGTGTGTGCCCTTGTAAATAGCCCCCAAATGATTGTTAAATGTTGATGTATGTACGTACGGTAGACGCGGACCCCTATCGCCTGTGTAAATATCGATTTTTTTAGTTTGCGGGGAGCGGGAGGACCTTTTGAGAGGACTGATATAGAGATGAAAAAAAGATAAATGTAATGTATGTATAGATAAGACGATTTATGTGAATATGAAATTATTTATACTTATTTATCGGTAAAAGCTTCGATTGTGTCCAATGTTCTTATAAAATTTAGATGAAGACTATTTGAAAGAATAATAAAAAGGCATACTTTTTTAACCAAAATCAATGATGTGTCGTTTTATTTTTAATCCCTGTAACTATAACCACATCAAAGACTTAACTCATGATCAGAATCTTTTCTTATCCAAAAAAAGTCTTTCTTTCTTTAAACAGATGTTTTATAAAAAGGAGAAGCAGACATAATGTCGTTCAAAGAAAAAATCGATATACTATAAAAATAAATATTCCCTAATAAAAGTAATTTTATGGTTTAATGTCTCGAATACTTTACAGAGGCCATGATTACTAGCCTAAGTACTGGTTTTTAAATTGTTAATTTTCAAGTAAATCGAGAACTCGTTAAGTTTATTTTAAAACTATGATAAAATAAAACAATTGAATGTTTCGGAAATAGAACCCAAGTTTATAATCGGAAATAGAACCCAAGGTAATAATGAACTTAAAACTTCAAACTTGTTTCTTCCACTAGAGTTAAAGCGTCTGGACGCGAATCCCGAAGAAGTGGTTAGGATTCCCATCGCGGAGAAAAACTATTCGTGCTTTTTTCTACACAATTTAATATTTCTAGATCTTTTAAATAAATTATACGTCTTGTTCCAAGTTGGAATCGAACCACGATCCGCAGCGCCGGAGTAGAAAAATATTTTTTTTAGTGAGAAGGTGAGCGATAACCGCCGCCAATGGACATTTGCAACATCCGTCGGGTTGGAAATGCGTTGCCATCTTTCACTAAAGCGAGCCCCGACTACCTCACTCAGACGAAACGCAGAAGTATAACACTTCCACTTCACTTATTTTACACGTTTTTCATATTTTTTTTTTTTATGTGAACAGTTGCCAAGCGAGCAGGTGGTTCACCTGATGTTAAGTGAATACCACCGCCCATGGACATCTGCTACACCCGAGGGTTTGCAGATGCGTTGACAACCTTTTGAAAATTGGGCTCCGGCTACCTCACTCACCAGACGAATCGCGAAAGTAATATACTTCCACTTTACGGCGGTCTTCTGTGAGGTCGTGGTACTTACCCGGACGAGCCTTCCCATTCGTGTAACAGCCGAGGCACCGTAAAAATATAAATATGACCACCACAGTTATTTAGAAACTCACGACATCGGCGGTTCAACGATTCTAGGAGGTTATTGATCTCATCCTGCGGTAATAGCTCCCAATTAAATTTCAGTACGACGATTTAAACTAAATGCCCGCGCCACCTCCGATTAGATTTGCTTCAATTTGGAGCATTCTTACCACTCATTTCTTTTGCATTTCATCCCTTGTCAGATATCTTCGCTACAGAACGTAATGTCAATATTTTTTAAGGTTTAAAAACAACAAATTTTGTTAAAATTAGAAATAGTCCTTAATTCTTAATCGATACTAGGGATGCCGAAAAAATATAGATATATCGATATTGTTTATTAAATTTATCGATATTATAGCCAATATATTTTGATCCGATATGTCGATATAAAATATTCAATATCGAAATCGTATCAGAAACGATATTTTTTTGGACAACAGGGCCTAAAAAGAAACTAACGATCGATCGATATATCGATATTTTTCTTTACTTACGGCATCTCTAGCCGATACCATTACTTTGTTTACTGTGTTTGTACTTTTCGTAGATTGAAAAAATCTATGAAATTGATCAATAAATAAACAGCACATTGTGTAAAAGTTATTTATTTATGTTCGAAACGTCAATATTTGAACAACGTACTCAAGTTATTTTTTTTTACAATATTAATTTATACACAAATTCAAGTCAACGCATTCATATAAATTTTATGATACATCTCTATGCAATAAACATAAGACCGCCTATCACATTACAAAATAATATTTACATTAAAAATTTAAAACGAAATTACTTACAGCTGACGGATACGGGACACTTTATACAACCGTCGACCGGATAAATTGGGTTATTTTGTATAAAAAAATCTCCTTTAAAAAATATATGTACAATCATATTTATATCTTATAAATAAAAACATTTACATTCGGCATAAAGAGTTCACGAGTTGACTTTTTTACAAAAAGAAAACACACTACATTGAGCTAAATGTCCGTAAACGAATGAGATCAGCATTACGCACGTCTACGCCCGCGCGCGGAGACGTCAATTAACTTAACCACCATTAAATTGGTTCGTTCGTCCGTTCGCGGAATGGGCCTTATTAACGACTCTGCGACTGACGAACGAGCTAATTTGACGTCGACGTCTCCGTATCGGCGGTCACTCTCCTGGATAACTGAAATGTTACAAGTTGGGAACGCCGAGGGCGAAATACAGCTGCTTGGGGCACACTGTCAAGGTCACTTGAAGGACTCGTTTCGTTCTCATGAACGACGAATGGTCACCGTCCTCGACCAGATGGCACTGCCAGCGGGTTTGGACCTGTTAGCAAAAGTTTTAGGCGAACGATAACTTTTCGCAACCCCTTCAAACTTGATGAAGGAACACACGACTGGACACAATTTTACACAACGTAATCCACTCCCGAACTAAGCAAAGCTTGTGCTATGGGTACTGGATAACTGATAAAAGTACTATGTTGTAAACAAATACACATTACATATATTTAAACACCCAGATACTAGAAAAACACTATGTCCGTCACGCAATATTATTCCAGCAGTGGGGATCGAACGCACACCCTCTGGCGCAAGAGACAGGGTCCATCCATTACACCAATCGGGTCGAAACGGTAATTTTGAAATTGATATTGTTCAATTGTGTCCTTCGGGCGCCTTAACAGTATGCTAGGTGTTTCCAAAAACCCTCCGAGGATGCGATCTCGCATTAGGAACACTAATATATTATGCTACGAACAGCCAACTGAATGTAAGAGAATTCGCCGTTAAAGTAAAGACACAATGCGACATAATTTTCTAATATGAACACATATATATTCACATCCATTTATTCATAATTTGAACTCCGAGGCGACTATATACAATGTACGCTAAGCGCGTTTGTAACTAACGTACGCACCTTATTACGTACCGTTTGCTTGGTGGCCGAGATTCGAACCTACGACGTCGCATGCGCATTAACTGATAAAAGTAGGGATGCCGAAAAAGTATCAATATATCGATATTTATAGCCGAAATCGTACCTAAATATTATATTTTTTTAAAATTCCAATCCGGACAGATTCCTTTCATTCAAATATAATACTTGGCATACTTTTTTTTTGGACAACAGGGCCCAGAAAGATATAACGCGGCCGATATTAATATTTTTATAAATATCGATATATCGATTTATTTCTTCACCTTCGGCATCCCTAGATCGAAGACGTTCACCGTCGCTCAACGTCCAAACAAAAAGCAACGAATGAAGAGAGACGCGTCGGTATTTTCAAGTACTCGCTTTGAAAGAAATTTTAACTAACTAAAAGAGTTTTTCACGGTGAGATGTCTGAAGCTTTAATACGATATCACTCATATTTAGCCATTTTAAAGATTTACAAAGTTAGGAAACTGACTTAAGTATTATTTTTTTATGTGAGAAAGTGGCTAGCGAGCAGTTTACCTGCTTGTTATGCGATAACCGCTGCCCATGGACATTTGAAACACCCGTAGGGTTGCCACCTGTTAATAATGTGAGCCCCACCTCACTCACCAGAGGAAACACTGCCACTTCACGCCGGTCTTCTATGAGGTCGTGGTACTTACCCGGATGGACCTGCCCATTTGTGCAACAGCGAGCACTGTTGCGTGGCCCTACCACGGTTAAAATAGCTCTGTTGGTGCAATTATAAAATACAGCGTGTTGTTACCATCGCGACAAGAAATGAACACACATATAGGGGATAACTTTTTAAAGTTGTATTAAACATTTAAATTCTTTAAACATCAATATTTACAGAGTTATTAAATTTTCCAAAACAAAGAATTTTATAACACCCTTACCTATAAAAGCGTAACGTAAAGTTCATTTGTAAAGGTCACAAAGCATATGAATGGGTTGAATGAATTTAAAAGAGACAAAACATACTGTTAGAAGGAGAGGCTTGTAATACGACGTTGTGGCGCTAGTTGTATAGGATGTTACAAATTTTGTTTCTTTTTTACTTAATTAGTTTGTTTGAAAAATATTTTATTTTAATTATGGATTTTATTTAACCTTAATATTTTTTATGATTATTGGCAAGTAGCGTTAGACGTGTGTTCATTTATTGTCGTGATGGTAACGACACGCTGTATATTTACTCACACATTTTATTTACAACGCAATAACTCTATGCGTAATATGATAAAAATTCGGTAAAATTAGGTGGTAAAGAATCGAAACTTTACGGCTAATTAAAGCTTCAAAACAATCACCTTCATAGATAATCGAAAAAAAATCGTAGTTTTTGAAATGGCAACACCGCTTTGAAACCTACATTGCTGGCTGGCAATACGACTCCGTATTTGAGTCCAAGTAAGCGCTATGTATCACCTTCCGATTTTGAGCCGATGTAGGGCGATAAGCTCAACACTTGTCACATTCGGGACTTGATAACTGTATAAATAGTCGCTAATTCAGTTCAGCCTTGAGAACTTATCGCAACCTGTATATATCAATATCTCGCTATACACTAAGTGGCTTAGCAACATATGGTCGTGTAACTTGGAACGTAATACCTCTTATTCGAACACAGACGATCTCGTCACGTGTCTGTGACAAGGTCGTCTGTGTCGGTGACACGTGACAAGATCGTCGCAAAGCTCGTACACCAGCAATTCAACACAATAAACCTAACGAACATTGCAATTAAAGGTTCGCACCTGGGGCTGGAATAGCCAATTGTAAAAGTGTCTAACATTGCAAATAAATGTAAAAACCAGTCTACGTACAAAACTATTCGAGAATATTCCCGAATTCGGAGATACCTCAAAACGCGCATTCGGTAAGACCCCGTATCACTATACCCATAATAGATACAAACGGCTAACTATTTACGTAAGCTAACATTACATTCGTTGTAAACTCGGTAGGATGAGAACGAAGGTGTTACAAACAAATCACAACACTTTTAAATTTGATATAAACAGACAACTACGCTAACAACTAATTCACGTTAAGGAGGAAGTTTGTAAGAAACAGTCAACCCACTAACATCTGCAACAAGAGGTATAGAACTGCGTTTCCTAGTCTTATTTTCTTTTATCAATTGGACGAAATACAAGTGTAAAATGCATTTGTACATATAAAATTGGATAACTGAAAATGTACTAGAACACATATAACTCCAATATCCCGGCTTCACTTTTTACAAATTTAACACAATACAATACCATTTCCAGGGAGAACAATATGTAAAAAACATTTTTTTTTCGTAAGGAATGTCATAAACCTTTACAAAAATTTTATACAACATTCTCTTTTCATTACATTATTGCTTCTTTGATATGGCAGCCGAGTAATAATGCTTGCACGACCATCTATTCAACGAGGGTATTTAGAGATCAACTATTTAACATTTTACGCTTAAAATATATGCTATGTGTGACATTGTGAAGTACATAAGTGCGTAGAAATTATTAATTACTCACAAAACATTTAAAAGGATTCTTGAATTGGTCACTTAAAATGGTTAAAATGTTTCGTAAATATATCGTGGCTTCAAAAGTTCAGGAAGACATGATAATTTTGTTAAAAGAAAACAGCGGTTACATAGAAACATTTGTCTGAATAAATAAACACACGCATTATTTGTTACTTGATATTAATACTACTACCGTACTAAGTTTCACTTTTAGACTGGTTTGGTTGACGGACGTTTCAGTATTCAATCTACAGATAGATTTGGTTACTGGAGATCTAATTTTGACGTAAGTATTATGTAGCTAATGTCAAATACCTATCGCTAGTTACCAAGTCTATCTGTAAATAGAATATTGAAACCGGCCGTAAGTATGACTGTCCTTCATAAAAGATAGAAGCCTAAATATAGAAACTAAATTTCAACGCTAACTTTGAAATTAACCAGCACAACGGTCGTGAAAGCCTTATGTTTAAGACGTGGAACAGTTTTAATATAAACAAATTGAACACCCGGGTATAAAATTGTCCAAGCACACCGGTCTCTATGGACTTATATCTCCATCTCACTAGAATCTATCATCCGTTTGTCAATAAGCTAAACCTCTCCAGACATACTTTGATCGAGTACATTCAAATATGAGCATTCGTTACATACAGGGTTAGGAAAATAGTTCCCCACACCAACAAATACACATATACATATACGTTTTAACTCGAAGGAACATATTATAATTATATATATTTGCTTAGAACAATTGCAAATCGAATCGTTAATTGTTTAGCGTCCAACTATTTCAATAAACTGCACTAACAAACCCACGTATCGATAATTCAATCCATCGGGACGCGCCCCACTATTTTACGATGGGAAGTCCGCGGATGAGGGGGGGGGGGGGGGGGGGGGGGGGTTTGCTCCGACCACGCTTCGTTGTAGATGTGTTTAAAACAGCTCTCAAAGCTTTCCGAAATGAACGGAAAGTTACTCTACTTATTTCGAATATGTCATTTTAACAATAACAGAATGTGCATATTAAAACTTTGCAGAATTCGAAAACTATTCAGCAGTAATATAGAATGTTGCCTTCCTTACAAATCACAGTTTTTTTCACAGCGTATAAAAATCACCGATGCGAGTTATTTTATCTGCGCAATAATTACACGCTTAATTATTCCAATGAAGACTTTCACAGTGACCACCATGAAATATTTTAAGAGAGTATGTACAACAACCACTTTTACATGCACTAGGGTTGAAATGGAACAAAACTGAGAACAATAGAGAGGTGTTAAAGACATAAATTTCAATTGTTAAGGTGGCCTACGCTGATTGCGGAGAGATTTCTCCTTTTATGTTTCACGTTATTCCCCTTTTATTGTATCCACAGACGAATCGTATGGAAATTACGACTGAAACATTTCCCGGTCAAAAGATAGAAAACAATTAGTCAGAAAACTTTGATTCTAATCTCAATTCTGCCATATATGTCTGTGATACGTCAAATTCTAAGTCGGATATCTCTAACATATGTGGAAATGCTGAATAATTTAACAATTGAAAAAATAAATAGTTAATTTTTTAAGAGGTCGTGTTTTATTTATGATCTTTTCCTATTTACAATTTGGTAATATTTCATTTACAAAATTACCATCTAATGTTAAAATGCTGGTAATTAAAAATAAATATTGAAATAGAGTACCTTTTCAGATGATCCGCTCTCTCTCTCTCTCTCTCTCGATTAGCTAATTTTGTTTTAGTGTGAGCTAATAAGTCCTTAGTGATAGAACTAATACGTCATTTGTAATAACTTGCACATGTAGAGGTGATTAAGACAATTGGTGGGTCGAGTCTTCGTGGATTGAACTATTCATACATAAGGACAAACAGAACGACGCTATTATGTATACATAAAATTATGCACATCCACACCACAGCGTTGAGGGAGTAGAATATAATACTGATTACGCATAAAAAAGCACCCAATTGATTTCCCTCAATGTTCACCCGAAAAAATCTCGAAGTCGTTAAGTACCAGAGGTCAATGACACACCGTCAGCCATCGCAACAACTATATACATTTAAAAACGAATCCAACAAGAAATAAAATATCCATTTATCAACTCCGATCGGCCGCACCTGTCATGGTATCACTCCAAGGTCGAGCGTTACATAAAACGTACGCTCGTTTGTGACATGTCAAATTATTTACAGCGTCATTTAGTCGTTGATTTTTAGACCCGTTGTCTATACTTACAGCTTTATTATACACATCGAATCAGGGATGGGGCGGGGGGGGGGGCTGGTAACAGTTTTTTGCGCACACCACCATTTTGGGAGACAAGGGGAGGGGGGGGGACGTATGGTAACAGTTTTTGTTTTGCGCACACGTTTGTTCGATGAAATCAACTAGGTCGTCCGCACATATTCACACTCGGCTCGCTAGGCGGGGTGGGCGGGCGTTTTTCAGTCGTTAGGCCCCACTAAGAGCTCTCCGGGTTCGATTTCCGCCGCACTTGGTGCGCGTTCAGACTCTGCGACTGCGTTTGTGTGATGAACTGTTGCGCGACCGCTGAAATTCAAACGGCTCGGTCATTCGGACAGTAGGTTGTTGCCGAATGAAAGCGATTTACGGATTCGATGGCCGTTATTGGATCCCGACTTTTCGGACGCTTTACATATTCACGTGTTCAGAGTGTGCGACTGCGTTCGCACAACTATTGCGCCACCGCCGGTATTCAGACGATTATATGTTTATTTAAGGCCCATTTACATGGTGCCAGTTTCTTGCCTGTTGTATACAATTAAATTGACGCAATAAATGAGTTGCATGGTCTAAACAACAAATGGTCTAAACAATTATTGCGCGCAATTTATTGCATTCAATTATTGCTCTTGTATGTACAAGAAAATGGCATCGTGTAAATGGGCCTTTAGAATAAAGCTTGTGTTCATACAACAAGTCATTAAAGGGAATTTATTATGCATAGTTGTTGCATGAATGGTGCTATAATCTTTCAAATTTAAGTTCATTTTGACGTTTCATAATTTTCCTGTAGTAGTGGTCATACGATTTCGAACAAATTTTGTGATGATGTTAAGTTCATTGTTTATTACGTGTAATATCCATCAGTGAGATGTTATGGAGCCCTGTAACCATAAAAGAAACACGCGGAAAAAAGCGTGGAAACGAATGAGAGGGAGGGAGAAAGGTGATATAGAAGGGAGAAGTGGGAAAGAGAAAGCGAGGTAGCACACGAGTGGGCGAGGCGACGGCGGCGTGGGGGTGCTGCGCGAGGCGCGAAAAATGGTGGAAAGGAATGAAAGGGAGGGAGAGAGGTGATATGGAAGAGGGGAGTTGGAAAGAGAGGCATGGGTAGTTCACCTGTGGACAGCAGGGCAGCGGTGTAGTAGATGAGCACGGCACGGGGCGCGGGAAATGTCGAAAATAATAGGGAGGGAGGTGATATGAAAGGGAGTGTGGGAAAGAGAGGCGGAGGGGTAGCTTCGCTATGGGCAGCGCAGTGGCGCCGTGGTAGACGAGCAAGGCGCGGGACACGGAAAGAGGGAGAAAGGAATGAGAGGGTGGGTGAGAGGGGATATGGTAGGAGTGGGAAAGTGAAGCGTGGATAGTTCTTCTGTGGACAGCACGGCAGCGGCGGAGCAGGCGAGCACGCGCCGCGGGGAAAGGTGGAATGGAATGATAGGGAGGGAGAATGAGAGCTTGGTAGGGGGAAGTGGGAAAAAGAGGGCGCGACAGCTCACCTGTGGGCGCGGCGACGACGTGGGGAGCGATGGGGGCGCGGGGCGCGGCGGGCGAGGGCGAGGGCGCCGGGGCGGGGGCGGGAGCGGGGGCGGGGCGCACCAGGCGCGCCGGCCTCGCGCCCCGCACCACCTGCACCGCCCCGCCCCGCACCGACCCCTTCACGCCGCCGGGCATCAGTTGCGCTGGAAACGGCGCTGCGATTCAACCACACCCAAACGTGCCGTTCACCGCTTATATATCGTTAGTGTGGATCCCAGATGGTCGCAGTCAAAAGGCTAACCCTTCGGTCGAACGTACGTACTTTCTGTTTTTTCTTTAAAGAAATATGATACAAGGGTAATCGCCTTGTATGTTATTGATTTAGTGCAAAAATCGCGGAATAAAAGGATAAATACAGCTGGCGATCTGGTTCAAATCCCGCAACTAGAAGTAGTTAACCGTTTCCTCGGAAACTTTGACAACACTAGACAAAAACATAAGAACTTGTGTTTGTTGGGCGATGTACCCGAATTAACTACTACTGACAACTCTTTTACCAGTAGCCTAGAGATCGTGTCGAGAGTTAACTGCCCCATAATATTGTACAAGTAGCGGAACAGGGGCATCTGGTAACCCGTAAAAATCCTTTCATTATTTGTAACCGACGGGCAAAAAAGCTCCAATTTAGAGAATTAGATGGGAGACGTCATTGAAGACCAATTTACATTTATTTGCAAATTTGATGCCGGCTTATGTCGAAGTGTAGGCAATCTGGAATTGAACTTGCACTCCGCGCTATTGATGTTGCGTACCGATTGGCAGTGAAAGCACCGAGGGCTGGTTGGTGAGCACCACCGAGGTGGTGGGTGGTACCGACACCAGCAGCCCGCTGGGCGCCCCGGACACGTTCAGCGAGAGCGAGATCGGCGCCGACAGGCCGGGGATCTGCACCTGCACGTTCTGCAGACCCTGCAGCCCCTGCAGACTCTGCAAACCCTGCAGCGACGTCAAGCTCAGACCCTGCAAGTATTAACACACACAATACATTATATTTAACCGTGGTAGTGACATGCTGTGCTTCGGGCAGCTAAACGCAGGTCCGTAAGTACGGCGGCCTGGCGGAAGACGGGAATGGAAGATTACAATAGATCTTTCTAGGTCGCCGTTTTACGTTGGGTCTTACTTCCTAACTCCTTCCTCACACGGCCGCTATTGATAGTATTGATGTCTCTTTGTGTATGTGTGGTCACTAAAAGACAGTCACAGCCGTATTCAAGAACAATACTATAAGGTCTCACAGCGCACGAACGCATAGGGCCGCTACAATTCTTAAACGACACTTAAGTGATGCGTTCGATACGGACGACCCTTACGTAAATTAGGCAGAGAGCTGTTTATCCAACGCATAGCTTAGCTTTGACAAATGTCAGGTTACGTTAAGTCAATTTTGCTAAACGGACCAATCACAGATCTGTAATTGGCGCAGTGTGTACGCACAGTAAAGTGCCGCCTAAATGTTGTTTGTGAATGACATGGTCCGCCATTACGAACGCAGCGAGAAATGCTATCAACCTTTCCTAAGTATTGTTCTTGAATAAGAAAGAAAAAGAGAAATATTTATTCGGCGCATTACATTATGGGAGAAAAATCAAGAACAAGAAATAACTCTAGGATCGTACGAACGTACGCACCAAAAATCGCGACAATAAATGAACACACATATAGAGGATAACTTTTTAAAATTGTATTAAACATTTACATTCTTTAAACATCATCAATATTTCCAGAGTTATTAAATTTTCCAAAACAAAGAATTTTACAACACCCTTACGTGTAAAACTGTAACGTAAAGTTTATTTATAAAGGTCACAAAGCATATGAATGGGTTGAATGAATTTAAAAGAGACAAAATATACTGTTAGAAGAAGAGGCTTGTAATGCGACGCTGTGGCAACGAATAAAAAATTCTCTGAATATATGAATCAGTCAGTTGTAGTTGTATAGGATGTTACAAATTTTGTTTCTTTTTTACTTAATTAGTTTGTTTGAAAAAAAAATTTTATTTATTTATGGTTTTTTTTACCGTTAATATTTTTTTATGATTATTGGCAAGTAGCGTTAGACGTGTGTTCATTTATTGTCGCGATGGTAACGACACGCATTATAACCGTAATAAGGGGCAAGAAATAGCACTAGTATTGTAAGAATGTATGCACCAAAAGGCCGTAATAATCAGAATCCACGTAATGGTGGTGACCAACCTGCTGCGTGTACGTAGGCACCGCCGACGCGGTGGTAGTGGACAGCAGCCGGGCGCCCGATATCGACACCGTCCTGCCGAGCAGTTTGTGCGCGTCGACGCCGTCCGCTGCGGCGCTGTGAGTCGCGTGACTCGCGTGAGTCGCGTGAGTCGCGTGAGTTGCGTGAGTCGCGTGAGTCGCGTGAGTCGCGTGAGTTGCGTGAGTTGCGTGAGTCGCGTGAGTCGCGTGCGCGGCGTGCGTCATCGCGGCCGGCGCGCTGTTCAGCAGGTTGAGGATGGTGGCGTTGCTGCTCGGCGTGCTGACGGCCGCTTTCGCCGCGTTCTGGCTCGCCGCTGCGTTTAACAAGTGATTCTATTATTGTCGGTTGTTATTTGCTATACCGTAAAAAGACATAATTAACTGTGGGAAAATAAATGTTTCAGTTTCTATAACGGTAGGTAAATAACATTTAAATTTTAATAATAATAATTAAACTCAACATTTAACGAGTAAACTTTTTTTTTTATATGAAACTGACCAGCGCTTGAATGCCATCCCACCTGATGGTAAGTGCGAGCTCAGTATCGTATAAAAACATCAAACGTGTTCCAGGTATGGGGGGAATTTGGAACCTTAAAAGATCCTAAAAAGAAAGAAGAGTTTCAAACCTTGCTGGAACTGCTGCGCAGAGTTCATAAGGCTGGTGACAAGAGCGCTGATGGCGGGATTCGTCGTGCGCGGTTTGGTGACGGTGGCTTTCTGCTGCGTCGTTGAGGTGTTCGTGTATTGGATGTTTTGCACCTGGGCGGCGGGTGTTTTTAAACAATTTTCTTCGATCAAATAATAATTTAGCGACTAATTTTGAAGTCCGGTATTTAAATCAGTATTTCACATATTTTTATTGTAATTTCTCATATTTACGCAAACGCTACACGTTATTAAATGAAACTATTTTTCGGATTTCTACGCGTTCATTTTAAAATGAAATTCCCGACATTTAGAGTGCTTAGACTAGAAAAATATTAAAAAAAATTACACAATTTATTACGCATTTACTTGTTCGAAGATCTTTTGGAGCGTTTGGAAAAGGTAAAATTTTTATGCGAGCGCGCACACCGACCCGCAAAGAGCGACATGATGAATTTGTAATAACAACTTTTTGACAGTTACTTATAATTCCAATTTATTTAAATAAACCGTGATCAATTGCATTAACTTATTTTTCACAAACAAATGGTACTGGCACAAAGGATAAAATTTTTAGTTATTTTTTCTTTGGTAAGCTAAAGAAGTCCTACTTGTTTCGTGCGTACATAAGTAAACACATACTTCTTTTCAACGTATTTCTTTGTTTGTTTCTAAACCACGCTTGCCTCGAGGACATAAGACGTTATACAAATAGAACTGTAAGATTTCTTTTTGAACGCTTTCATTCATTATTGGTACATTTACCACCATCCATTTTTAGAAGCAATGTTGAATTCGACAGAATCTTCCAATTGCAACTTTCGCGACGAAATAGGCAGAAAAGTGAATAATTTGCTAAAGGGTAGGCTGCGGGTCTTATTCTCGATTCTAACTTGTGACAAGAATTGGTGCCTTCTCCTTCTCTTAAAAAGGAGAGAAATGCAAAAGGAGGGGTCCCGCTTCTTTATAATGGAGTGCGGAACCCTAAAGGCTTTTCCTAATATAAATGTTACCTGGGAAGTCCCCGCTGAGGACATGAGAGGATGCTGTATATGGATGATGGTCGACTGCATCTTCTGTGGGTTGAGGGGCTGCGGCGGGTTGGTCAACTGCTGGGCTAGCAGTTGGTTGGTGGACGCCTGCGTCGAATGGATGTCGTGGACCTTTGGGTGGCAACATCGCTGCATATTACAAAATGTCCCCGTCCGTATGTCTAAGAGCTCTATAGCTCATTGTCTGGGCGCTAGCTTTCAATTCAATATACTCGAGCTAGCTGAGTTCGTACCCGATGCCAATGAAATTGATAATTTTAAGCGGTGAATTATCACGCGCTCAGCGGTGAAAATATCGTGAGGGGCAGCATATTTTCGTTATTTTTTTTTTTTTTGATAAAGTGGCGGTTCACCTGATGTTAAGCGATAAGCGCCGCCCACGGACATTCGCAACACCCGTGGGTTTGCAGATGCGTTGCCACCCTAACAAAGTGGGCCCCGGCTACCTCACACACCAGACGAAACGCAGAAGTGTAACACTTCTACATCACGCCGGCCTTCTGTTAGATCGTGATACTAACCCGGACGGACCTGCCCATCCGTGCAACAGCGAACACTGTTGCGTGGCCCTACCACCGCAAATTTATAATATTTGACATTAATGAATAATTATTACATGAATAATTATTTGACATCAGCTCCATAATACCAATGTCAAAATTCTACCTCCAATCAATCTGTAAATAGAATATTAAAAGCGGCCGTAAGCCTATGTGTAAATTGGTTAAAATGACGATGATTGTTGAAGATGTCGGAAACATCGTCCTACGCAGAAAATGCTCGACCAGACGGCAAAAAAGAAATGTAGCGTATATGCTCTGCTAAACATTGTAACAGAAAGAGACATAGAGATAGCAGTAAGGGTATCATAACCATGGTATTAGAAAGAATTTATTTTACTTTTATTATTTATTCCTTATGCTTTATTTAATATGCTTAAAAAAACACTGTCCTTACTGTAGATAAAACAATCCTGTGTTGAAAGGACGTTTTACATACATAAATTTCACGTGGACAAACACCCAGATGCGAAATTTACGGTGGTAGGGCCACGCAGCTGCCTCGGCTGTTGCACGAATGGGCTGCCTTGTACGGGTAATTACCACGACCTCACAGAAGACCGGCGTAAAGTGGAAGTATAATACTTTCGCGTTTCGTCTGGTGAGGTAGCCGGAGCCCAATTTTATAAAGGTTGTCAACTCAGCTGGAACCCTCGGGTGTAGCATATGCCCATGGGCGGCGGTATTCACTTAACATCAGGTGAACCGTCTGCTCGCGTGGCAACTTTTCACATAAAAACTAAACAATTATCTGATGGTCACACAAATATTTGTCCAGTGTGGGAATCGAACCCACGACGCCGAATCCAATACTTCAGCAAGTGTGCCACGTAGTCATCATTATTTTTTTTAATATTCCTAAAATAGAGCACGACGACCTATCTACTGTTATATAAACATCTTATGCCCGGTTCCTATATTCAACGAACGGCCGTTAGTTACATAGCTTCGTAACTTTCATAGACACTTGTGAATAAAAGGTGTGTACGCCCGATCCCTATATTAACAAAACGAAGCGTTTTCCTTACGAGCCGTTGCATTACCTACGGAAAGTGAGTTACTAGCGTTCCTTTAATCTACAAGCCGTTATGAGAGTTACGAAGCTATGTAACTAACGGCCGTTCGTTGAATGTAGGAACCGCGTATTAGTTGATTTTACAAACGACGATCACCGTCCGATATTAAAGCAGTGTCCAAAAACTAGAAAGTTCGTTTTATTGTATATTTATTCATTTATTCATTTACAAAACCTTACACTATCATTACAGGTAATTTAATTTTTTCTAAACCATTAGGCCTATAACTTTGTGAGAGATTTCCTGCGGCCGTTTTTATTAAAGACGTGCGTTATCTTTCAAAAAAAAAATCGACCTAACATAATCAAATCCAAGTTTTTTCATATGAAATGGATAACTAAAGAATCAATCTTTCACATGCGCCTGCATCAGCCATCTTTTACGAACAAGTGTTTATGTTCCAATCGTCAATTGCAAAGACTAGCACTATAAAACATAAAACAACATTAAATAACTTAACCTATATAAAATTTAATTATCTTTTCTCGTATTTACGCGAGTACACATTATAAGTGAAACTAATTTTACGGATTTATCGCCGTTTTCAATTTTAATTCCCGACGTTTCGAACTCTTTGCAGTGTTCATGGTCACGGGACGGAATGAAGATTTGGATGTCTGAATGTCATAACCCGGGCTTCCGTCAGTTGTTGAATTATTAATTTTGTGTCGGATCTATGCAGAAGGAGCTAACTGTATCTTGGTATTGCAGTGGTGGTTCGTTTGGGCTTCATTTAATTTTATTGATGATAAGATCCCAACCAGATGGCAGCACTCAACCCTCTTCTATATTGAAATTAGGGTATTTTTAATGTCAATAGCCTCGCGATTCATCCTTGGAAGGAAACGGAGTTCTTTTGCAAGCATTTGATTTATAATTTAAATTATCATTATTTCCTATCAGTATTAATTTGGTCAATACTAACAGAAGGTAGAATTGTTTGGGAAATAGAAATACTATAATTATGTACGCCGCAAAATGAGGTTATTGTTTAAAAGTAAGGGCGAATACACACTTGTGGAGAGAGGCGGGGCGTTGTCGGTGAAGGTTGCTGCTTGAGGGCGGCTTCAGCCACCACACCAGCTGCGGCCGCAACGTTGGCAACTGCCGGCACGACGCCCACGTTGCCCACGTTTGTCACGCTGCCCACGTTACCCACGCTCGCCACACTTCCCACGCTGCCCGCAGCGGGAACGGCCCCTACAGCCGCCACATTGCCCACACTGCCTATATTGCCCAGATTGCCCATATTGCCCACACTCCCCACTGCACCGACGACAGCGCCGCTCGAGACGCCCCCCACGTTGCCAACTTGCTGCAACTGGGCCTGCTAAATGGAAAGTCAATCAATATATTAGTCTAGCTCCGGCGGTTTGAAAGCGATATAGTTATAAAAGGTTAGCTCCACTAACCAGAATTGGAAGCTGCCGCGCGTTTGTGTGTGCATTAGGAGTGGGGGCAATTGCGGAAGTCCTGTGAAGCAAAACACACTTCAAAAGTAGCTAGTTCGTTTGTAGTACTCTTACTGCAACAGTAATAATAATATTTCAATTCCAAAAAAAAACCACCGGCTCACTAAACTAGACCAGAGCAGAGAAGAACCGGGTACCGCAAAGTCTGTGGTCTTGTTTTGTAAAATGGGGGTGTGAGCCACCATGGAACGTTACAGTTACACCGTCGTGGGGTCTTCGTTACTCACATTACAGGGACCGCGGTCGAATGCGTCTGGACAGTGGAGCTATTCGCGGCGGCAGACCTCTGCTGCAGAAGTAACTGCTGGCCCTATGAAAATGAAGCAAATACAACAAACAAAGCATCACACTATCGACCCTTAAGGGTAGATTGCACCTTATTCAAATTCGATAAACACAAAATATATATGTAAAGGTAATAAATAATACCAAATCTATTTACCAATATCAAATAGCTTATAATATATTACTATATTATAAGCTATTTGGTTTTGTCTACTCAATACAGAATTAATATTCATTCATTATATTGCTGGTGGTTGAGTCTTGTCCTGTTTATGTTAATGCTGTAACAATATTTACAGAAAACTAACATGCAGACAACTAAGGATACTTTAAATTGGACCACAACAATTTAGTTGAAAAGTTCTAATTTCATTCAAGCTAAAATTTTCATAAACGAGAAAGTAAATTAGAGGCAATCGTACAAAAGAGCTTTCCGCTTAAATTAATCAATCATTTATCATTAAAAAGTTTGTAGTTCGATCAACAAAGTTTTAAATGAAGAATATGTCAACCGTAATGTCGCTTAGTTTGGTGGCTCCGTGATCCGGAAGACTCAGTTTCGAATTCTGGCAACGGCGAAAAATTGCGAGAGTTTTATGTACAAATTTTTAGTTCTAAAATTAAATTTAAAAAATTAAAAATCATTTAATAATTAAATTTAAAATTGAAATAATTAAAATTGAAATTGAAATAATTTAAAATTGAAATTGAAATAATTTAAAATTGAAATAATTTAAAAATTGAAATAATTTATAAATTGAAATTGAAATAATTTAAATTTAAAATTAAAATAATTTAAATTTAAAATTGAAGTCATTTTTATTTTAAAATTAAAATTGAAACCATTTAAAATTAAATTATTTAACTTTTAAAATTAATGAATACAATCAGAAAATCTTTCTTATTATATCCAAACGGCTAGAAAATTTAATTTGATTTAATTATGCATAAGATCGGTTTTACAATAAATCTAAGATATTTTGTTTACAAGTGAAAATAAAATACCATCTCCCTCATGCCACCGGTGAAGGACACCCTGGGTAATTGTCCAGGCACGATGTGCTTTATCCTGACTGACTTGCGACCTTCTTCTGTGAAAATCTCCGTGAACTGTTGTATATACTTATTCGCCTGGAGTCTCGATCCTGAAAATAAAATGGAATTATGTAAAAAAAAAATTAAGAATTTCTCTCATTTTCTTGATTATACGTTATATCAAAACGAGATTTCGAAAACAATAATGTTTTTATTTTAAAACTCTCGTCGTTTAGAATGCTTTTCATGTCAAGGGGCGAACTGAGGCGTTGGACATGCTTATGATACTAATAACCCGAACTACCTTCAGTTTGAAATTATTAATTTTAGTCTGATCAGTTAATATAATGAACGAAATGCATATTTTCTAAACGAAAAAGTGGATGTCGGACAGCATGTTCTTTTATATTAGCTGATTTTTAGGGTTCCGTACCTCAAAAGGTAATAAAGGAACCCTTATAAGATCTTATAGCAAATTGAAATTTGTACCAGATACTGAGTTCTTTAGTCCCTATTATTTGTATATAAAATCAAGGTCCTGAGTCAACACGATAAAATGATATTTATATACAAATTTATATTTTCACTAAAGCTTGGTGAGTACCAAACTGTAAAATTGCTATTTCTAGGTTAACCGTAAGACCTATAGGGGTCTTGAGTCGAAAATCTAAACGTTGACTTAGAATCAGGAAATTTGGCGAAAAGCATTACACAATAACAATTACACAAAGCATTACACAATTACACAAATAAAGGAAAACTTCCGCACAAATAATGGAGAAATTCAAAAAAAGTTAATTATTTTGTGATGTGTAGTTTGCTGTTAGCCCGACGGTTTTGACAGCTTCGGCGGAAGAGATGAAAATATTAAAAACTAGCTGCTGCCCGCGACTACGTCTGCGTAGAATAGGCTGAAAACGTAACAATCAGACAGAAAGACAGATACGAATTGACGCCAATTAGCATAGTCCTCTGAGTTTTATGGGCGCTCATACAAATACAACAACATCTTGGATAACGGTACGGAACCACTCGTGCGCGAGCCCGACTCGCACTTAGCTGGTTTTTTCTTTTTTTATGTAAAAATTTGTCAAGCGAGAAGAGGGTTCATCTAATATTAAGTGAATACCCGCATGCGTATCGCATCTTGCTATCGTTTGCTCTTGCAATACTCAAAAAACCTCTCACAAACCCACGTACGATATTCGAATAAAATGAATTCCAATTGTGGAACGAGTGGGGGCTCAATTGAGTAATCGAACGAACCGGGATTTTAATGGAATAAATGAAAAGTATCGAACGAGCGAGTACCTTCATCGAATAGAGTCGGTAGAGCGGGAACCTCAATTCTATAAACGAACAGTGGCAATCGAGCAGGGACTCAATCGAATAAGCGAAAAGTGTTGAACGAGCGGGGATCTTAAACGAATAGTATCGAACGAGCGGTGATCAATAAGTGTCGAACGAGCGGTGACCTCAAACGAATAAGTGTCGAACGAGCGGTGACCTCAATCGAATAAGTGTCGAACGAGCGGTGACCTCAAATGAATAAGTGTCGAACGAGCGGTGATCAATAAGTGTCGAACGAGCGGTGACCTCAATCGAATAAGTGTCGAACGAGCGGTGACCTCAATCGAATAAGTGTCGAACGAGCGGTGACCTCAATCGAATAAGTGTCAATGAAGTGTGTCGAACGAGCGGTGATCTCAATCGAATAAGTGTCGAACGAGCGGTGACCTCAATCGAATAAGTGTCGAACGAGCGGTGACCTCAATCGAATAAGTGTGGAACGAACGAATAAGTGTCGAACGAGCGGTGACCTCAATGAATAAGTGTCGAACGAGTGAAGACGGTGACCTCAATCGAATAAGTGTCGACCTCAATCGAATAAAGTGTGAACGAGCGGTGACCTCAATCGAATAAGTGTCGAAAGTGACCTCAATCGAATAAAGTGTCGAACGAGCGGTGACCTCAAATGAATAAGTGTCGAACGAGCGGTGACCTCAATCGAATAAGTGTCGAACGAGCGGTGACCTCAATCGAATAAGTGTCGAACGAGCGGTGACCTCAATCGAATAAGTGTCGAACGAGCGGTGACCTCAAATGAATAAGTGTCGAACGAGTGAAGACCTCAATCGAATAAGTGTCGAAAGAGCGGTGACCTCAATCGAATAAAGTGTCGAACGAGCGGTGACCTCAAATGAATAAGTGTCGAACGAGCGATGACCTCAATCGAATAAAGTGTCGAACGAGCGTTGACGTCAATCGAATAGACGAAAAAGCAGTGTTAGCGGGGGGTAAGTAGAACCTAAGGTGAAGCGGCACGCGGCTCCGTTCCTCTCGCCCTCGACGTGGTCGCGGTCCACGTAGAGCTCGCCGAGGAACTCCTGGTCGGAGGGCCGCTGCAGTATCGAGAGCTTGATGTGGAAGCAGCCGCCGGCCGGGTGCTGCGCGCCGCGCTCCGTCTCCAGCACGTACTCCTCCACCAGCTGCGGCTGGCAGTCGGACGTGGGCCGCGGCCGCTCGTAGGCGCGCGCCAGCCGCAGCGGCCCGCCCGCCTCCGACGGCGGCGCGAGCGGCACTGCCTCCGCGCGCGGCGGCTCGATCGGCTTGAACACCTGCGCCGCGGGGGGAGGGGGGGGGGGTTAGTTTTTTTTGCTACACGCGTAGTGTTGCAGATGCGTTGCACCTTTTAATTAGGTGGCCCCAGCTACCTTACTGACCAGACGTACGCTGAAGTCTATCACTTGTACTTCACCGCCGGTCATCTGTGAGGTCGTGGTACTAACCCACGACGGACCTGCACATTCGTGCAACAGCGAACACTGTTGCGTGGTCCTACCACAGTTATAATCCTTTTTAATTTTATTTTAAAATTGAATAATGACTCTAACGACAACGCAGGGAGAGGGGATGTTAGTGTTATAACATAAATACTAGGGAAAAGGCCGAACTGCGCGTGTTATTCTTATATGCCATTTATTGAGATTTCTTTACGAAGTTCTGTAATCATACAAATAAATTTAATTTGAACATCCGAGGATAGTGATCATAAGTAAAGATGAGAGAGTTGGTGTTACGGCCCTCAAGATAAGTATGGCTAAACAACCCAATAATAAGGACAATGGAGCTAAATTCCTAGGAATAGGGTATTTTCATCCTCATAATGAAACTAAAAACAACATATAAGACATATAATAAAGAAAAATTTACCTCTGGTGGTTTCTTGGGATATTTTGAAGTAAGCCTAGTTAGTGGCACAGACTGCCTGCTATTCTTAGCTCTTTGTCTATGAATCAATTCAAGTAACTCCAGCCCATGATGGTGTGTGAATTGGTCCAGTTTTCTTTTCCTATTTACTGCTACCTGAAAATATTTGTTAATAAATAACAATTTTGTTACAACATGTGTATAAAGACGAATTTGTACGATAACTCAACAATTATTATAAGAGACTATAATTATTATAGAAGATGACTACTGTAAAACAAAAAACAATTTAATTTTATAGTGTTAATGACAAAACATATTCCAAAGTTCAATCATCTAACTGGGAAGTGTGTTCAAAAGTACCTGTGAAAATCGCCTCGCTTGCCGTCGTATCCTGGGCGTGTTGAAAAGTCGCGGGGCGGCGTGGAGGCGCGCCGCCAGAATTCCCACCGCCGGCCTGGGGTCCAAGCAGAGAGGAGGCGCCGCCGCATGCACCAGGGCCGCCTCCACCGCCTCAAGGGCCCCTCTCTCTTCGGCCGCCCAACCACACCGACCCCCGATGCACATTGCGTCCGTTATTATACTCTGAAAATGATGTACCGCTGAGTTGTTTAAATGATGAATACATAGATGCAGTGTTTCCCATAGAAAGACATTTTAAAATTTAAAAAGAAAGCCTGGACATTTCCATTCATTATACATAAGGCATGTCTTTTGCAATAAAATATTAACTTAAATCTGTATAAGTAGAGCAATTCATTAAGCAAAATAAGACCTTGTTAAGTAAAATAAATCACCTGATTAGTAGGTCGTAATAAAACATGATGTGTATCACACATAAAACTAGGATATGCCTGCCGATAGTCCCTTATTTGAGCGATTATGCAACCAGAATAAAACAGTGATGAGTGTTCAGACTCTAAGAGGTCAAGGAGGATCACTGGTAACTCTTCATTATCTATATAGCTTAGCAACTCTTCCTCCTCATATGGCCATCGAGGTGTTTCTATTAAAGTCTCTTCTTGACTTGATATCTGTTGAAGGGAAGTTGCTTTAAACATCAAGAAAAATAAATTACATATTTATGTAAATAATATAGTTTTAATGGATATCAGGTAAATTGTAAATATTTTCAAAGATTTTTTTGATGATAGTGGACATATTAAACAGAAAAAGTAAATAAAAAAATATTTCACACTTCTTTACCAAAATAACCATTGATATCAAGCTTACCACCATATTAGAAACAATTTTTTATACCTTTTTATGTAAAAATAACTTTTTAAAAAACACTGACATCAATATACCAAACCATGTAGGTGTAGTGTTTAATTTGGTACAAAAATATCATTATGATTCCTTTACTTACACTTACATCTGGAGGTTGTAGATACTGTGTATTGCCATTTACTTTAAGAGATAACGAGTAGCCTTTATTCCCTGGATATAAGTTTATTATTAATGTATTGAGATTATATGTTGCTAATAACTTTTCCAACAAATATGATGTAGTTTTAAGTCCTTGCTGTAATAATAAAAATTAAAGATCTTGATAAGAATATCCAAAAATATAATTAAATAATAATTTTAAATAATGTTATAATTGTATTACTTACAACTAGAAAATCTTACATTCAAAGATTTAGAGGTTTTATCCTTTCAATTTGATACAATTCAGTTAAATTTTTATATCATAGTAATTGATAGATGTAAATTATCAATTTTAGAAACAAATATATTCATATCAAACTTAAATCAAATGTATTTTTAATATTTAAAAGTACTGTATTTTACTTACACTGTATGTAATTTAAAAATACTGGTTAAACTAATCAACTTAAAGAAAAATAATAAAAAAAAACAACTATTGTAGTCTCAAATTAATTATTTAACACAATAAAATGACGGTTCAAAAATTATTAATGTAAAATATATAATGACAACAATAAATTAATAAAGCCATGCTTGAGTAGTAAAAAAATACAGAAATAAAGAGACAGTACAAGTGAAATTATAAAATTTATGAATACTCACATAACTTATTTGTGACGCTTCATCTCTACTTAATTCATTGTACAACTCATGAAGCTTTTTAAATAAATCAAATTTTTCTTGCTTAGTAGATGCCAAAACGGTAGAATTCCTTTGAAACTTCATCCTTCCATCATCAACAGTTTCTGCTAGGTGCATTTTTTCATGGCTCCAAGTCATTTTATGGCTAGGAACACCACTGTCCAATTGCGTTAAGTTTGAATTTGCATGTTTAACTCGGTTAAGTATTACCTGAAATTTTACAATTAAAAGTACTTTAAAATTTTCATTGGAAATAAACCTCAAAAACAAGCTGAAAACTACTTCAACACTTGCCTCTGCTTCCAATGCCGCGTGAATTAAACCATCCATAATGTCATTAATTAAAAAGAAATATATGAGTGGCAGTTGCGTTTTTAGAAATATTATTTCATTTTAACATATTAGGCCTGAGTATTAAGTCATGATTTATAGAAAACTAATACGCTTTATTTATGTTTCACACTGCATGACAGTAAAATAACATGTCCAATGTCCATCAACATTTTTGACAGTTCTGTTGAAAGTTGTCAGTGTTGGATACTACGAGCAAACCAACTTGGGCAATTAATATTCACAAATATGTTACGTGTTTCGGGCAAAAAATGCTTGAACATCATCTTTTAAGATTTAGGTAAATATATTTAAACAGCATGTAAATTTGTACTTAAGATCTAAATGCAGTTAATTAATAATTTGAAACTAAATTAAAACTCTAAATACTAAATTGAAATTCAGTAAAAGCAGGTAACACTAAAAATAATTTTTATCCAGTTTACGCCGAAGCATTTCACTTAAAAATTATATTAAAAATATAGAAATTGTCCAGGTTTACTGAAGTAAATATTTATAACTAGGGCTCGGATTAATATGTAAATATGAATTTTTAATGAACACTATTTTCGTTCTGGAATGTGTTCTGTTCTCTACATTGATTATCATATATACTCGTAGATTGTGAAAAGCTAATTTTAATTTTCCATATTTTTCCATATTTCATGGTTAAGTCCATATTTTTCAAATAAATATCACAATCATCCATATTTTCGTTTAATATCATGAAATATGACTTAATTCACAAAAATGACATAATTTTACGTGGTTGCATCCTCACCACCACTCGGCCGTTTTCATTTCTCTCATGTATTATTCGTCGTAATTTGATTCTCTAACTTCATTTATTTATTCCACATTATCTGCCCCCGTGCCGCCGAACCGCAGTACTAGCGCGTAGGGAACGCGCGCGGCTCAGCGGCGCCGAGAAACCAAGGCGCGCTAACTAAAGTGTATTATACGCAAAAATAAGCATTTGATACCCTAAAAACAATTAATAAAGTACTGTGCGGAAGTTTTGAGGGTACTGCGTGCCTAACACAATTATGGAATAAGGCGTCTTTAAGTACGCTCCCATTACATCATGTAACGTGGAAAGATCTTTCAGCATAAGGCTGTTTTAAAACCAAATCGAAAGAATTTCAATTTCGATAATTTTAAAAAGCATATGATTGTGTACTACAATAAATTTAATAAGACAGATTTAATCGAAGATGAATAAAACTTTATTATTTAATTTGAATTACCTAAACATTGTGCTATCTTTTTATATATTTTTTTTATGTTATCGTTACTGTAGTCATTTTTAACAATAAACAATGTTGAATATGAAATATATTCTTATTTTATACTCCATATTTTTCCCATATTTTACATTTTTTGGTCTATATTATATTTACATGTTTTGAATTTTTTAACACATATTTATCCATGCCCTATAATTACAATAGCTGTGACTACAACATTCTTTTTAGCTCTATAAAAAAAGTACTGAAGGAGAGTCGCGTGAGGTTACTTTTGTCAACGTAGTGGAGCTTTTCGACTAAGTCTGTCATAACAGCTTCTTGTATCTTGTATTAACTGATGTTTTTGTTTTCAGTCCCGAAACTATTAAAGCTTCATCTGACGCAGAACCGGTAGACTACCCAGAACCCACGGGTTTGGGCCCTCAGCTGTGGGTAGGGCCGCGCATATGCTCATGCGTGCGTTTAACTATGGTGTGTCATCTAAGGGCCATCGAGGTCGCTGTTCGGACCAAAACCCCGATGGCCGTCGACTGTGCAATTAGCTAATCGGTGGCTGGGAGCGGTGAGAACCGCCCCGGAACGCGGGTGTACCAAGTGTACGCCTTGTGTTGGTTTCGCCGTGCTCGAAGGCGAGGACGATGGTGTTTGTTACTGAGTGTGTAGTACAATTTAGTCGAACCCCCATATGAGTGTATGTTTCGAATATGTAAATTCTCGTTAATCACCTGAAACCGTATATATCCGTATATATAGAGTGATCCAAAATCTATCTCACCATCGCACAACCAGCCCCATAGTATATGCGGAACGCCGAATTGCATCGCGACCTAATAATAACATTCCCTCAAACTTCTTTAAAACGAAACATCCGTAACCCAATTTAATATAATCAGGGTCAGCATTCAGAACTTATCCTCCACAGGCCCGAATTGGTTAACGTCATCAATGCCTCACCGCTCACGGCGCCTAGCGGCATGCAATTTTTCTGCTATTAACTTATATTTTTTTATTCTATAAACTTCTGTCGGAATATATCTTCCAAATAATTGAGAATTTTTTATAGTTTAAGCGAATACGTAGGCTATGCGGGGCCCCCGTGACGTCAGGGGCCTTAGGCACGGGCCCCGTGTGCCCTTATGATAAAAACGGTACTTCCCGCTATTTTAACTAGGCAGTGGCTATTCGGTGCTTAATGTTACATTCCAAGTCCTCAGAGCTGTGCAACAAGCACCCAGATACTTGTATTATCGTTGATGAACATGGTTATACTTTTTGGCTATCGATGGAATCGGCCTGTTGTTGCTTAGGTCATTAAATGAAATGTTATTAAGTCTTTTCGGCTCTTATCACTACACCACCTCGGAAACTGATATTGTCCTGAAAAAGTCCTCATGCCATCTGCTTATATGAAGCTCCACGAAGCTGAGATCTGCGCTTCTTAGGAGTGAATATAAACCCAAGAAAGTAATCGAAGAGGTTAAACCTATTAGATTATATATCTGAAATCAGTACTGACCGGTAAAGGCGTACATTTAATATAAGGTGGCAGTCTTCACTGGGCAGTCTAACATGTACACTACTGAATTTTTTTTATTGTGCTAATCTCTACTGCGATTTCCACAGCGGCGATAAACTTTTCGATTGACTTTTTAGGACTTGTTACTTGTTGGTTAGTTAGCTTTATTTTTGCAGTTTGTGATGTCACGATTTTATCTAAAAAAGATTAGGTTTTTGTACCAAATCCCTAGTCAGCTTTGTGATTGTTGGATACGTCAGTCAGTTATTACTCGGCAAATGCTCTGCCGAACGGACAACCAATGGAGTACTTTTCTATTGAACTATACCGGAAGGCTTTTCTAAGTGTATCCATTTTTTTTAATTAAATTTAAGACATAAATAATGTTATATAAAAATGATAAATATTTCGACATTATTTCGTAATTAATTAATTACATTAATTTTAACTTATCTGAAAAAGTATCTTGTATCTTGTATTAACTGATGTTTTTTGCTTTCAGTCCCGAGACTATTAAAGCTTCATCGGACGCAGAACCGGTGGGCTAGCCAGAACCCACGGGTTTGGACCCTCCGCTATGGGTAGGGTCGCGCATGTGCTCACGCGTGCGTTTAATTATGGTGTGTCATCTAAGGGCCAAGGGAAGGTAAAATTCGCCCCACCGACATTGTTATGATAGACTGCCCGATAATCGGGTCCAAAAGACCCCCGATCGAGACCAGGGCAATATCGTCTTCTTTTTCGAGTCCAGATGATTATTTTCCTTTTTTTTTTTCCAATAACTCTGAGTCCGTGGCGCCGTTACCAAGGCATTGGCTTCGGCGTCGGGGGGGAGTTTAGTAAAATTGGTTCTAATTATAAAAATGAGTTTTTGTAGAACTTTCCGTTAGCAGCCGTGGAAATGACACGAGTTGTCGTAGAGTTAAATCTCAAGGGACGTGGCATCGCCAAATTTAGAGTACCTGCAATGTAAAGTCATGTATATGTAATATCCAGTATCTTATTTATACAGGGTGGCTTTCTAAAGGTGCCCAAATTCACACAGGAGGTTCAGACTCGGTAGTATAATCGTTTATTGAAATAAAAACAAACTTTTTTTTTTTCAAAAAAAAATTGCCATTCTATTCCCTAAAAAAACAGAACTTGTTGACAATGCGGTAGTCATTCTAAATGCGTCGTATATATTTGAAACGAACTTGTGTGCGTGTTAGTTATGAATGATCGCGCGTAAAATAAATGGATGCCCATAAATCAAGCACTTTTTCAGAGAAGCACACATAACTCACGCGTGCGTTTAATTATGGTGGCCCTTAGATGACACACCATAATTAAACGCACGCGTGAGCACATGCGCGACCCTACCCATAGCGGAGGGTCCAAACCCGTGGGTTCTGGCTAGCCCACCGGTTTCTGCGTCCGATGAAGCTTTAATAGTCTCGGGACTGAAAGCAAAAACATCAGTTAATACAAGATACAAGATACTTTTTCAGATAAGTTAAAATTAATGTAATTAATTAATTACGAAATAATGTCGAAATATTTATCATTTTATATAACATTATTTATGTCTTAAATTTAATAAAAAAAAATGGATACACTTAGAAAAGCCTTCCGGTATAGTTCAATAGAAAAGTACTCCATTGGTTGTCCGTTCGGCAGAGCATTTGCCGAGTAATAACTGACTGACGTATCCAACAATCACAAAGCTGACTAGGGATTTGGTACAAAAACCTAATCTTTTTTAGATAAAATCGTGACATCACAAACTGCAAAAATAAAGCTAACTAACCAACAAGTAACAAGTCCTAAAAAGTCAATCGAAAAGTTTATCGCCGCTGTGGAAATCGCAGTAGAGATTAGCACAATAAAAAAAATTCAGTAGTGTACATGTTAGACTGCCCAGTGAAGACTGCCACCTTATATTAAATGTACGCCTTTACCGGTCAGTACTGATTTCAGATATATAATCTAATAGGTTTAACCTCTTCGATTACTTTCTTGGGTTTATATTCACTCCTAAGAAGCGCAGATCTCAGCTTCGTGGAGCTTCATATAAGCAGATGGCATGAGGACTTTTTCAGGACAATATCAGTTTCCGAGGTGGTGTAGTGATGAAGAGCCGAAAAGACTTAATAACATTTCATTTAATGACCTAAGCAACAACAGGCCGATTCCATCGATAGCCAAAAAGTATAACCATGTTCATCAACGATAATACAAGTATCTGGGTGCTTGGT